GACCCGTCTGCTCATTTGCCTCCTCTCCGATAAAAAAAATATTACGCAGAAATTTCGAACTAAGTAGAGCTTGTACTTTGGAAGTTATATTGACTTATATACTTTTTTGTAAATACATACATATTATATACATAGAAAACACCCAAAGTCCAAAACAATTATTTTCAGATCATACAAACATTTACATTTGGTCCGGAGGTCTCGAGAATCAAACCCGAGACCTCAGCACAGCAGTCGCATACGCTACCACTCCACCACCAAGGCAGTCTTGGACATGAGACAACACTTTGTGTGATCCAAATTCTTGTTCTGAGTCTGGGTAAGAATACCCGTGTCCGTTTCATGTAAATTTGTAAGTCCCCCGTGACACAGGATATATTCCTAGTACGGGAACTCCCGTCTTTTTAAAAAGAAAAGAAAAATAACTTATTTTATAAGTGGGTACGCTGAAAATTATCTGTTTGTGATACTCATGGCTACACATAATTAAATATTTATTTGCTTACTGATGACAAATATGAAATGCCAGGATAAAAAAAGATTTGTTATTTTATGTTATTTTTTAACAGACCGAAAAAAAGAGGAGATTCTCAATTCGTCGGAATCATTTTTTTTAGTAATGTTATCTTTACTAATTACAGATTTGTAACTGTGACCCAAAAATTGTAGGCATCATCGCTACTTTTGGTGGAGCAGCCCATGATAGCTGTTTGGCAGAATATGTTTCTGTCTGGTTACATACAAAGATGGTATGAACAAGGAGAGACTAGATGGTTACTAGGAAAATTCAAGCGATGTCGCGGGACTTATAGAACTAAACGCCTCAATGTGCGTGCCCACGACTGGCGACCAGTACTGCAGTGGCAGCGATCAGTCGTCAGAGTTGATTGCGATTGCGCAGCAACGCTTTTGTTTTTTTTTTTTAAGTGAAACTTCTTTAGCACCGTTGTGATTTGTAAATTCTATGAAACGGAAAAGCGACAGTAAAAACATCAACATTTTCATAAATAGGATTTAGCCTGCGCGAGAGTGAGATAGATTATAAGTATACAGTGTTTTCTGTAATCTTCGTCTCCTCTATGCTACCGCAGGTCTTTGCGTCTGCGTACAACGAAGCCTTCAAAAAATGTGTCATAAACAACGTGGTGTATCATTCACGTGTTTAATTTTTTTGCATTTGCGTATTAAAATTAATTGATTAATTCATCATCATCATCATCAGCCTATCGCAGACCTCTGGTGGACATAGGCCTCTCCTATTGCACGCCACTTAGATCGATTTTAATTCATGAATTAATTTTATTTTCATTTTTTTATTTGGTTAATTATTTAACACATCTGTGTTAATTTGACCAATAACTTTATTTATACAAATTATCTAAAATTAAATTTATTAACATTGGTAAAAAAAATTATTGATTGTACACACAATAATATTTGTGTGTATATTGGGTTAAAATAAATTTTATAATATTTTGACAGTGTGAATATTTTTATATTTTTATTAAATATAATATTTTCAGGGAAGTTTCACTTCTACCGTGTGTGACACACACTTTTTTATGTTACAGGGGGCAGACTAGCAGACGAGTCACCTGATGGACTTTGACGATCGCGCCCATGCACGTCTGCAACTCAGCAATCACAAACGCGTTACCGGCCCTTTAGGAAGGATTAAGCTCTTTTCTTGAAGGTTTGAAGGTCGTCGGTACGGAAACACCGCAGACGATACCGTGTTCCACAGATTGGTTGTGCGAGTCAAAAAGTGTCTCGAAAAGTGCTCAGTAGTGGAGCGCCAATTATCCAGGTGATGGGGATGAAAATTTTGCCATGTGGAACGATGGCGGAAACTTGTGGCCGGTATTGGTCCGAAAAAATCCTAGGAGCACTCTCTTTAAAACATCCATATGCGGCCGGACTTGCGCCTTATCGAGCTGAAGGGGGTGGGCCGGAGTGATACACTACCTCGATCTATTCGGCACCAGATCTATTCGAGACCAAATTGACCTTACCGTGTAAGTGGCTCCGAAACTGGACTTTGTTTGATATGTTGATACCTAGTAGGATCTTGGCCGACGCAGTTATGGAGGTGCTCTCAAACCGAGGTGATACAAATGGTATCTTCTTTGCGGTAAGCGCACAAACCTGTGTCGAAGTGGACTAGATTTAGTCGGTCCCAATCTGAAGGAAGTTTTAATTTCAGACACAAATTCGTTTCGACTCTTGATGACTTTCTACCGAGAAATATCGAGGCGGCCGGTGTAAAGAGCATCTCCCGTACTATCATCTGAATAGCAATGGATGCACTAGTTTGCAACATGTCATTGATATGCAGAAGAAAGTGAGGGTGAGATAGCACACAGCCTTGCCGGACACCAGCATTTACGGATTTCAAGTCGGAGCATGCACCATCGACAACGACCTTAATGCTTCTGTCCCCAAGGAAACTGGTGACCGAGTTACACAATTTCTCGGGAAGCCCATAGGAGAAGCCCATTTTCGAGAGAAGCGCCTTATGCCAGACCAGATCGAAGGCCTTCGCTACGTCCAAACTAACCGCACAAGCCTCTCCCCTGGTAGTCGCACAGTCGAAAAAGGCGCGTTCAACCGGTGCCAGCTCCGGAGCACACAACACGACAGGAGAGATTCTATCGGGCTCACTCGACTTATGAATGTCGATTGAAAAGAGTGCTTCACACACAGATTTTTTAATGAACCTGATTTCATCTAAAATCGAGTTGGATACAAAGAGTTCACCTAGGTGATCGGCTTTCTCCTTGGCATCATAGGCCAACGAAATATCTCCCATCTGAAGGGCTAGAAGGAAATTAAAAAATAAAAATTAAAATGCTAAATTATATTAAAATACTACAGAAATTCCCCTGGACATCCTTGGCAAGAGACCAGAACCGATCCGGCTGATGTGCTCCGATTTTGCCCTAAAAGCTCTTTTAAGGGATGATTGTTATTTAGACGTCTAGAAGAAGAAGTAGTCCAGAAGAAGGGCCATCAGAGAGCAAAGTGCAAGTTTATTTATTGACTGCACAGATCGCGTAGTGGTTTAAGCGGTCACCTCGCCGCTTCCTACTGCGCTCGGTATTGTTTAACAAACACAAACGTGTAACTAGGCAAGCCAATAACTTCAAATGCCTAGGACAAATTACAAAAAAAAAAGAGTATTTGATTTAACGTGAGCGCTGTCAGAGTCAGGGATGAGGGGCGTGCACGCTTTGGGGACTTTAGATATTTATAGATTAACGTTGTTGCATATTGTGTATATCGTAGTATATTTTATTGTGATCTGCATATCTGTAATTTGTCTTGTTATATATTATTGTTATATGTTATTAATGTTGTGATGTATGTATACAATTTGTACTACATGTGTTATTAATGTTCTGCAACAGGGTTTACGCATAGCATCATTTTGGGCCCAACTGAAAACCAGCGTCAGGCTTCCATCTGACATAAGGCTGAATTGGGTCCGTTTTTGGCATCGTTGGTAATCCAAGTTGCAATTGTTCAAAATGTTGTATTATTGCCAAAATAAACGATTTTTCTTTCTTTCTTTCTTTCTTTCTTATATTATATGAAAGGGTCTAAACCTACAATGAGTTGCCTAAAGATATAGAAGAAGAAGAAAGTTATTAAAAAGCCACAATTTATGGGTGTTTCACTAATAGGATCATGAAAGTACTATTATTATAATTTAATGTTAAAATGCTATTATACTAATGAATACCACATCTGTAGTAAACATACAACAAACATACTTAACTACGAAACAATTATATAAAATGAAATTCCAATGCTAAAATATATTAACACATATTTTTATTAATACATACTTGCTCTAAGATAAACAGACAAAACTAATAACTAACTAAAATATTTATATTATTAATATACTAATAAAATAAATAACTAAAATAATATTATAGAGTGAAAACAACATAATGTATAAAACACTACATATAATATTCTGTGATGCAATATATAAGGCCTCTACGTTAAGTCTAAATATATAAAAGGCACTACACTCCGCTTGTATAATACACTAACTACTCATAAAACATAATACATTGCTGTTGTCACTATAATAACAAATAAGATATTTGACATCAATCTACAGGTACGTGACACTAAGTCATAGGGGTTAATTAACATGCATTCTTTTGTCCACTAACATTTTTGAACTCACAACTTTATAGAAAGTATTTAAACCATCCGACTCATCAAAAACTTTGCACAACTATCTTACTAACTACGCTAATAAGGTAAAATATTTTTGTTTAGTATTGTATTTTTCTCTGTAAGTGATTAATTATAATCTTTTGAGAAAAATAAATGTCTTTAACCGCATAATGCGTGTGTTGTATTTCATTATGTTTGAAATGCCGCAAACATAGAACTGCAGGACGAAGAAGATAACAATGAGTTCATCCTGGTGCCAACGGTGACGATCAGAGGGCGCCCCACACGCCTGGGCGTGTGGAATTAGTGCTACAGTTGTGGCAAATCAGGGGGGCGACTTCCCCATAAAGTGAAACAAAAACATACTACAGCGCCATCTAACAATGCAACACCGAACTACAAAGAAACTGCTAATCCTGCATCGCAATACAAAAAAATCTCACATCGATTAGAATACATATACAACTTCCCAACATCAGCCTTTAGGGCGCGGCCTCCAGGTCCTCAACTCACCTGGTCGGAAGATCCTCCCTTTTTGTTGGAGGGACATGACAGCCCTTTATCCACAATAGAATAAACTTTATTGTACACCAGTGTTTTTGTTTTTTTTGTCACAAGAGTACATCAAATGAATTACCATACACAAATGGCGCCACTATCGCTAAAAAGCAATGTGTTACAGGCAACCTTTGTATAGAGAAATCGACTGGCAAGAGACGAATTCATGGGTGGTAATATTGTAAATGCTGTAAGAGAGTATCAATAAAAATACAAAATGTTTAACAAAAGGATTTTTTTTTATATTTTTAACTAGGCCCGTCCAAAGCTGCCGCAATTCTGTAAAAAGAGAGGTACCTATTAATATCGCTCATAAAATAGATCATTCTTTGCTTTTATTTTAAACTACCCAGCTTTGGTTTTTGTCACTGAACCACTAATTGGCTGGTCCACTTTGATTTAAACTTTTAGTGTGTGTTCGGATGGGATCCCAGACAGTATAAGTACGGTATCGGACGCGGAAGGTGGCGCTACAATCGAGTTTGAGTTTGAAGTCTGTAACCCGATTGTACCTTCACCTTCCGAGTGCAATTGTAAATCTAAACCATCTGGGACCCAACTCGAACAGAATAATTATTTTATATATATCATATACATATATCTCCCAAATCTTTTTAGACTATGTGATAAGTTCCATAGATACACACAATGTTGCCAGCATATCTTTATTAAAATATATAACATTCAGTTTATTTTTTACCTTTTCAATACATCTAATTTTTGCTGCTTGTATTTTTTATTTTCCTCAAAAGCCTCCCTGTCGAGCTGTAGCTTCAGCCTTTTGAGTTCCAGTCTCTCTTTTTTTAATTTTAAAATTCCTTCAAACACGTACTCTGGAATTTTTTGTAGTATTTACTATATATATATATATATAAATAGATAGATAGCTGTGGGCTATATTATAGCAGTGAGCATATAAATGTAGAAGAGCATTACAAACAATGGGAATGAAATAAGAGCCTATGCACGTAATACATACATGACATATTTGAAAAGAATACACAAGACATTTATAACTATTATAATAATTCTAGCTTTTGCCTGTGACTACGCCCGCCTGGATCTCGGTTATCGCGGTAAAGTACCAACACATTGGACATGTCGATACCATGCCAAATTGCATTAAAATCGGTTCAGCAGTGTAGCTGTAAAAACATAACATAAATAAAATCATGTCAGAGGGCTGCCCTATTATTGTCTCTGACAATTTTTTTTTTACATATTATTATATTTACTTTGATTGTGGCTGACATTCTATAGACATGACTGAGCAGGCTGGTGAAGCTGTTTTCATGTGTCACAAATAAAAAATATACACATATATTTTAAATATCAGTACTGGAATCACTGTAACTGATATGTTGCCATGAAAAGAAAACTAGTGAAAGTAGAAATAATAACTATGTAGAAGTAGGTAGTGTAACTGTTAAAGTTGCTGTGTCCAAACAGGTTGCATAATGATACTAATGGTAAGCTGTACCATCTAATTTTACATAGTAGAATTGCAAATAAAGAATACTGAATACTAAAAACTGATGAACTTTACCTATATTCTTTCTTCGCTTTGTTTTTCCTGTCACAACTCTCTTTGGTTGTGGTGTGTCGGGACGGTTACTATAGTTTACACTACTTTGTGATGACTCCTCTGGGAGAACTTGTGATGCGCTCTGGATAGTGGGCAGAACATCTGAACCTGATGTTGGTACCTCGATTTCGAAAGTCTCAGAAGCATCTAGACTTTCTATTATCTGTAAAGTATGTGAATTATGATTATAATGTGACTAATCAACATAAAAATATCTTATGGATGGTTGCAAATGTCACAGTTTAAATGTCCCCTGTGAAACTTTGCCCCCTATGGTTCATAATAACAATCATATTGATATAAGTGCTCAAGGTAAATTAATGCCTTAGAGTTTAGAGTGTTAAAGGCATAGAGGTTCCCACCAAAAACGCCTACACCCAGGCCAACCTCACCTACAAGCTGGTGATTATAAATTAAAAGGTCATTATTGATTTGATACTTACCACTACTGTTTCTTGAACTCCAGGAATGCGATATACGGCTTCAGACCCAAGTACAGCCAAAACTTTCTGTTCTAAGTCTGTTAAGGTAGAGACATCAGCAGCTGGGTCTCCACCAGTATCGCTTATAGATTGCCTGGTTTTACCTGCCTTTCTTTTAACATTTGATTTAAGATCCCTCCAAGTCTGAAATAGTTATAAAAAGGAATTATAGTGGTGATGGTATTATTATACATAGTATACATTTTAGGCTATGTAGATATATATATGTGTGTATGTATGTGTATTTGTAGTTGTGTAATATCAATATATTCACAGTTTTATTGATAGTTTTAAGTATTCGCATAATATGTTAACTTTACATTTGTTTTCATAAGCTACAAACTATCCTAAATTGTTAAATAATATCCATCGAAGGAAGAATGCTATTATTTTAAGCTCCCGAATTAATATTTAGATTACATTTAATTGTCATTATGTGCTTAAAATTACCTTCTTCCACTTATCGACAGACTTTAACGCTCCACCCATTGCATTGAGACGTTCTGTCAACTCGAGGAACATGTCCTCGGCTATATTCCGCCCTTGAGCTTCGAGTTCCTTGTGCTCCAAGAAGAACTCCACAAGAGCAGTCAGTTGCGCATACGAAGCATACGTCTTCTTCTGTCTATGTTCCATCTTTCGAAAATAATACCTAGTAACATTTATTTTTAATTCCATATAATTTATCATAGTTACATAAATACGTAGGTCTGAGGCGTGTGTATTTCTGTGATATTTGGATGAATAAAATAGAATGTTAAAATACTCACCATTACAATTATCAGTTTAAAATTCAAAACGCAATTGAAAACGTAACGAAGCCGTGAATTGGCGTGAATGATATTGGAATTCACAAAACATGCGAAAACGTTCAAATCGTATTCATTTGACAGATCACAGTGAATAGTGAATAGTGAATACCAAATACAAACGCCAAACTTTTTTTGTAATCGAATTGAAATCATGCGTTTTGAAAAGGTGGCATAACTGAATCGTAGTGATGCAGAATGATACTATATACTATCGATAGTTTTGGATTATTGATAGTTGTTTTTTTTATGTTTAACAGAGAATCTCGTAAGTGCGACATAGTTACAAAGATTTGTATACGACCTCTCGCTCTAATTAACTGTGATAACTGATTCGTGATAAGTTTAAGTTTGTATCTCAAAGAATTACGTGTGATTTTCATGTTTAAAATGGTTAATATTATTAATACTGGAATTGCACCGGCCACTGACTGACTATCATATTATGTCAACAAAATGTAGACAATACTACCACAGTGTCCGTAACTATCGTCATTTATATCCTCTTGAGCCTTTTAACTAACTAGGGGTCGGAGGATATAAAGTCTAAATACATTACATAACAATCGATAGTCCAAAACTATCGATAGGATCGATAGTAAAGTCGTCACGGACGAAAACATTGTCGACAGTATCCATAGCGATAGTCACTACGCTATGTTTACTATTGCAAGTCTTCAACAACTACCATCATACATCATGTGGCAAGCGTTGTAGGGATATACATTTAAACAAGTACTTAACGAACAGTATTATGTACAAACTCTCAGAGAATACACAGAAATGTAAACCGCTTTTCGAACTGGTTTACCTGACAAAAGAAGTAGTTAACAATACTACAATGGTAATCGAAATATAGCAATAAGTTAGAAAAGGCGGTTTCGAGAAAACCGCGCGCTAAGATTTTGTTACAATTTTAGCGTTTGTGATAAAACTTGATTGATTTAATTTTTATGTTTTATATGTCAAAAGAAATGGAAAAATGTATTTTTCACAGTAGAATAATATTGTCTTAACATTTTATTAGGGTTATCGTAAATCATAGAGAATCGTGTTTTCGTTACTATATTCTTAATTACATATTATTAATATTTAGCTAAAAGGGCAGTAACTGCTATATTGTGTGAAGAATTCAAAATAAAAAAAATCACTTACTACTTAAAACAGCAGTAAGGAGCTATCATACCCTTCACCTTAGATCTCGAAAATATTTTGGGCTATTTGAATCTTAAAAATATTTTATTTATATTCTTTAATTTCCTAACAAATTGTTTTGTAGGGTGTCCATGAATAACTTATTTGAAAAATTTTTTTTCGCTGCATCATTTTATTTTATTTCATCTAATTATTTAGGGGTAACTGCAAAATCAATGCACTTCAGAGTTACTATCGCGATATACCACGAGTCACGACACAAGTCAGTATCTGAACACTGAAAATAGTTATTGCAGACGTAGTGAATTATGTATTATAATGATGCGTAAAATTTGGGGTCGAGGATTAGCATGCATTCAGCCATTTACCAAGCTGGCGGCCGCCCGGCCATAAAATAAACTAGTCAAAACCGTTTCCAACATTACACCTTCTGGATAGTAAGACAATGATGATTGTGATATCCGTGTGATGACGGATTAAGAATACGGAATGTCACCACCCCTATTCATCCCATGGGTGACGTAAGAGCCGACTAAGGGAGAAAACTACGCAGAACAACAGCACTGCAGAGAGAAGGAAAACTTGACACAACCCCTATACCAACCCGTCTGGCCAGCGTGGTATAGTAGTCCAAAACCTCCTTTCTAAGGAGAGGCTTATGTCTAGCAGTGGACTGTTAAAGGCTGTTGATGATGATGATGATGATTGTGATAGATCGAGGTTAATTAACGTGCGATCGTACAACACTTGGGATTCGATTTCTCAAGTAGGCTGTAAAGGTAACGGAGGATGAGTAAAGCACCTTTTATTTGTCGGGATTGGAGCACATTGAATAAGATAAACAGCAGTGACCCATAAAAACACCGAGCAATGACACTCGACCAATCCCAGTACAAGTAAAACTGTCTTGGAACCTTGGAAATTAATCAGAAGTAAATTGGAGGGGCTAGAAATATAATAAAACCACATCTGTACTTGGCAAGTAATACATTTTTTTTTTATTAGAAAATACAACTCCCGCATTAGGAATATATCCTGTGTCGCAGGGGACTTTACAACATGAAACGGACAGAACACCCAGAAAACAACAATTTGTGGATCACACAAATTGTCGTCCCATGTGGGGATCGGACCCACAACACTCAGCGTAGTAGTGAGCGGCGTGGAGACCGCTGAAACCACTACGCCATCTGTATCGATTTGAATCAGTTTTATATTTTTGCTTGTATTTTCTTAAACTAGAAATATAATTCGACAGTTTACACTTGTATGAGTAGAGTACCTATTTAGTATTCATGAGTCAGTCAGTCCCATCAGACATAATACTAGAGCTACACGTTTATTTCTAAACTTAATAGACAGTGGTATATAAATTTAAACTTAACATATCTTGTACTATGTATACGTGTATACGAAGAAATTAACGCATTTACTGAAGAATGAATAATTGATGATTGTTATGTATTCATTTTGATTAAAGATAAACTATTTTACTCAGGGTTGACAAAATAGTTTCAAGACAGCTGGGGCCCTATTTTAATAAGTAAAATGGCACTGAATCTAACTCCTGACACATTCATGGCAGGCGTCTTCATTCCTTGTCGTTTATCTTTAATTAATATAGAATAAATGTATAAATAGCGTCGCACTCTCACATAGCATTAGAGAAATAATGGTGAGCATCTTCAATATACCTATTGCCAACACGGCAAAGCCTCTCAAAAGTGTCAAATACACAATAGAACAGGAGAAGTATGGAACAGTTCTCCAATCTGCCTTCCTGAGTAAACACGGACACCTTTAATTAATATATGCAAACATCAAACTTACGCAAAAGATTATTGATACACAGCTAATTTCATAGTAAACAACTTAGAACTATATAAATAGTTACTATAAGCGACAGTTTAACTGTCGCTTATAGTAACTATTTATATATATATACAAGAAACAATTTCATTTTTAACAAAATTTATTGTCTTAGTTTATATGAGATGCATTTTACTTTAAAGGCTATAATAGCCTAACTATAAAAATTAAGAATCTTGCCTGTAAGGAGGTGACCATATAATTATAATTATTCTATCAGTCAATTTAATTTTCATAGTACAAGCTCTGCTCAATTTAGAACTAGATGGCATTGTGTGTCAGACGTACGAAATATTTTACTATTTTGGGGATTGTAAAGCATCATACTGTGACAGGCAACCATACACCTTCATAGTCCTAATCTGGTACAGAACTAGTTGTACATGCCTGAAATATACATGTACTATATTAATAGAGAATAATAGACTAACACTTAAGGCTTTTTTAAGATAAATACTTAAATAAACTACTTTTCTCTTAACACTATGAATAGAGTTTGGCTTTAAAGACGTAAATCATTTTACGAATTCAAAAACAACAACACTTTGACAACGAACAATAATGACATGATAATAATATTTTAAAGTTACTCTTGTCAAATAATTTCCAACGTGTTTTTTGCAAAACGACAAGGTTTTTACTTTTCTCATTACTTTATGACCTAACATTAAAACACAGGTCAATAAAACACTCCCAATAGTTGCAACTAACTAAACTTATATGTATAACAACTTAATACATAAAATTATGCTATCTATTTATTATTATATCTCTTAATGTGATATAAACCTAATAGGCAAATCCATACCCATATTCCTATAAAACAATCCGTTCATCCCTATCTTTGGACAAAAATATCTTCTCAATACCTCTCTCACTTCTGCAACCGTTATAGCAGGCACACCTTCGTACCCAGACTTTATATACACTGCATTACTTAAACTGACTGGGTTACAAAAATGTCCTCCTTCAAATTTACTAAACGGATCTCCAGTCTTCTTTTTAGCATCCTGACGGATTAGGAAAACTGCATCGACAAGCTCTGCAACAATTTCATATGCAACGAAGCATAACACTTCCAATGCAGAATTCATTAATTTAAATTCTTTAGTAGGATTAATCCACCTTTCTAACTTAACAAAACCTTTGCCAAGTCCATAGGCAGAGCGAAATGATGCACATCTAGCTTTATGGTAAGCCTCATACTTTTCAAATGTCATAGACTCTGTAATTTTTGCCGCCCTTACTTTTCTCAAGTGGTCTATGGTATCATATTTTATTGAACTTACTTCATCAAACTCATCAATTTCTCTAATGCAATCTATGTGTGTTCTTCGCTTTTTGAAAGTCGGGTCGCTCCCATCCTCCAAAATAATACCAGATATGAGCGGATTATTATGGTCATTTGGAGTCGTAGGAATAGTCAATTGGCATTTTTTATCTATCATATCCAGTTTTATTTGATATTCATACAAGCGTCTCAACTTCAAAACATTCTTTCTCATTTGATATATAATATCAAAATTTGTTATCACCTTACTTCCTCGGAGTACGGAGCATTGAAAAGCTTCCTGTATCATAGTCTTAAGCTGCTGGTGCACAATGAATTCAACTAACACTACAGTGGCTGCATTTGGATTAGGATTGTCGCCGAAACCATGCATCATATTGGAAATTTCCTTTTGAAAATTTGTTACTTCGCCTGTGGCATCTAATGCGAAGTAAGAGACCATTTTCACATTTGCAAACACAAAGCTTTGATTAGAAAAACCCAGCAATAATACGAAATAATACAGTACTTTTTGTAGCGACTGTCAATAGTGTCATGTCACGATAATTGCCATTCGTATGTTCCCTTCACAAATTAATTAATTGTCATTTTTAACATTTTTCTTACTCTAGTAATTTGTAGATACTCTAAAATTGCCCGAGTTTGCATATTTTTTGATTTTCAAACCATTTATAATTAATTAACACAAACACCCTACAATAATTATCTTATTTCGTAATCCCGCCTTCAAACCCTAAATATTTTTCTCCTCCTTGAACCATGGAGAAAAATTGTAGCGGCAACTCTGAGAATGACAGCGGAACAGAGCTTTTAAAGTACGTTTAGTTACTTCAATTATTTTTTTTAAGTAGTGTTAACTTTCATTTTCAGAAGTTTTCTTTTTCTGTTGATTGATTACTGAAGGCTGCTTTTAAGAACCGACCTTCCGTTTTTATTAAAATGTAATTAATATTTGAACCTAACATAATAATGTTTATTTTCTAAAATGGAGGATTTTATATGTATTTAAATAAATTGGAGTAACACGATAGAATATGTCGCTTGCGTCACTTGAAGACACAGATTACCCCCTTATAGATTCCGCATTATTGAATATTTGTTCCGATTCGAGTTCACCAAATTAGGCGGTATGCAAGGGTTGCGGGGCACTTGTCAAATGCGCTGTGATTTAGAGTTGTGTAGCTCCTGAGTGAGTGATATAAAAGATATATATCATTCACGACAATAAAATGTATTACTCACTCACACTAGCTCCGAATATATCAGTAACTCACTACTAGCTCTCTAGATCACTAGCTCAACGACGACGCCGATCTTTGTTTCATGAGCGAGTGAGACTAAAGATAAATGAGTGAGATAGATGATGGTTGAGTTCACGCAGGTTTCTTTATGCAAAATGTACATTATTTATATAGGATCAAAGTTTAATATTACTTAAGCATTAAAATCAAATTATGCATGATTTCTATTATACAACCTAAAAAAAGTACAAGAAATAATTTCTTATTTTAATGTTAATAATTATGTAATCTTATCAAAATGAATAAAATTGTATTTAAAAAAATTGGTTAAAAATGTAGTTTCAAAAACTGAATTAATTTAATTTAATATGAAAGTTAATATGAAAATAAAGAAAGGTTTGTATGGCGAGAGAGGCTAAAAGTGAGTGATATACGAGTATACTGAGCTAAACGATCTAGATGAAGAAATGAATTAATTGTGAGACCAATCAATTGAATCGGATCAATGAGTTAGTGAGCTAAACGAGTTAGTGAGCTAAACGAGTTAGTGAGCTAAATGAGCTAGTGAGCTAAACGAGTTAGTGAGCTAAATGAGTTAGTGAGCTAAACGAGTTAGTGAGCTAAATGAGTTAGTGAGCTAAACGAGTTAGTGAGCTAAATGAGCTAGTGAGCTAGATGAGTGCTATATATCTTTTGAGCGAAATGATATATATCAATCTTTTCAGCTCACTGATCCATTTTGCGCATCACTACTGTGATTGGATATTTCAACATCAAACTTAAAATGCCATAGTGATGAGACAGGGTTGTGACGTTGATCGCTAAAATGGTTTGATTATCTGAATTATTGATATTTATTTTATTCTTGATTTATTGATTTTAATAAGTAATTATATTGATCAATGTTTATTTGATATTTATTAAAAAATAAAACATATTTTTGTGCCTACCGCGAAAAGTGATACAAGTTTAAACCAACACTTTAAAAGAGAACAAAAACGAGACTTAAAAAATTCTAGATCGCGATCTAAGTGGACCAGGTTAAATTTGAGTACTTTCTTTTGTAGATTAAAAAATCACTTTTACTGTACATTTAAATTGTTGTGATAAATATTTTAGTTTTAAATAATAAATAAAAAAAAGAAGATAAATCATACAAGTCCAGTTAAATTATGTAGCACCTATAAGCTGTCTGCGTGTAAATATTTATTAAATACAAATATCTAATAACACCTTAGAATATGTTTGTAGCGCAAAGTTACTCAAAGAAATCCTAAAAATACTAACCCAAAAACGAGATATTTTTTTACTTATCAATCCACTGTTTTTATAATTTGGCTGAATGGTATCAGTTTGCTAAAATCTTGGTCTTTTAGATTCGAATAAAATGTATGTAACACATTAAAATGTGAAAATTAATATAATCGCACTTATAACACGAAGCACGAAAAATAATGGGTGCAGCAATTATTTATAGAGGTTACAACTTGAAATACATCTATATTAACGATAATTTTGCACCACCTCACCTCACCTCAGTTTGAGAGCACCTCCGTAACTGCCTCAGTCACCATCGGAATCCTAGGCATCGACATACTTAGAGGGTAAGGTCAAAAAAAAGATTTGCGACCGGCTCGATTCGTTGGCGTTACGTAGAGATGTAGCTTCACTCTGATTTCTCTATCGCATATATCATGGAGAGTGCTCCGAGGAATTGTTCGGACTAGTACCAGACGCAAATTTCCGCCATCGTTCCACCCGGCAAAATTTTCATCCCCATTCCTGGATAGTTGCCGTTCCATTACTGTGTGCTTTTCTTTTGCCCTTTTTGCCCCGCACAACCAATCTGTGGAACGGGTTATCGTCTACGGTATTTCCGAACCGATACGACCTTCAAACCTTCAAGAAAAGAGCGTAGCCCTGCCTAAAAGGCCGGCAACGCGTTTGTGACTCCTGAGTTGCAGACGTTCATGGGCGGCGATAGTCACTTTCCATCAGGTGACCCGTCTGCTCGTCTGCCCCCTCTAACATAAAAAGAAAAAAACCTATATCACTTTGCACAAAATTATCTCCGAAACTATAGTAGATAACAGAACGTGAGTTAGACTAAAAAAAAACAAATCTTTTTCGTTAATTATGTCGGATTTTTAGCGTCACGTAGAATGCAAGTATGTGTTCGCGCCTTTGTGGCCCTGTAAGACGAATCTATTAGGGGGTAATCTGTGCTTGAAGATGATTGGTGTATTTAATTTAAAAATACGTTCCATTACAAGTTGTTTCATATACGCAATTATTGTAAAAAAACAATATTAATTATTAACCCTAATACATTTGAATGACACCATAATCATAAATCAAAAATCAAAATCCTATTGTATATGGAATGTTTACTATTATGCAACATTAATATCAAGGCCATAACATACCTACGAGTGCACGAACTGACAATTCAAATCCTTTTTCTCTATCAGCTGATTGTCAAAGTCAGACACCAAAATAAATAATGTCCCATCGTATCGCAACTTCGAAAACACTCAAACTTGTGACAGCATTGTTCGTAATTTAGTGTACATATCGTGACCTTGCTGAAAAACATCGTAAATTAACACTTTTGTTTCAAATCCGCTGTCATTTGCACGTGAAAAAGGGACAGTACATCAAAATTATGAGTCTCAGGCAGTTGTTAGTTAACCAAACAATAAAAAATGTTTTAATAAGGCAAATACGTCTTACATCATGCTGGTCTTGTGGTAAAGATGTAAAGAACATGATATCTAATCTATTTTGTGGAAACTGTAAGGCTTTGCAAGCACCAGATAAGGGCAACAATTATTTTAAAATTATGGGAATTAAGGAGTCCTATGATTTAGATGAAATAGAATTGGCGAATAAATATAAGGATTTACAAAAATATTTACATCCTGATAAATTTGCCACCAGGTAATTTTTTTTTTTATAATCATCAACTTATCTAGATTTTAGATTATAAATATTGTGTTCATGTACAGAAATGAAGCTATTGACTGCCTGACTGACTGAGTCAGCCTGCTACCATGGCTAGTGCAGATGAAATATGAAGCAATACCTGTTACTTGTTTGTATGAATACCCGATATGAATATTAATTATAGATAGAGACACCTTAATTTAACAACACTGCGGGGAATATCTGTGTTGTGATGGATTAACAATACAGAGTGTCAGCACCCCTATTCATCCAGTGGGTGTCGTAAGATCTGACTAAGGGAGCAAACCACGCAGGACAACAACACTGCAAATAGAAGGAAAACTTGACACAAACCCTATACCAACCTGTCTGGCTAGTGTATAGTATATGTCAAAACCTCCTTTCTAAGGAGAGGCCTACGTCTAGCAGTGGACTATTAAAGGCTGTTGATAATGTGATGATTTGTGATGCAGGGAATAAGTAAATATTTGTTAATCTAAGCACTTTTTTATAATGAGAAAATTGTCACATAGGGGTTAGGTTTATCTAAGCATTGCTTTGACATGGTAAGTTTTATGTTCATTTATAACATTTCATTGAGGGAGCACCATGCTTCGGCACAGACGGGTCGGCTCAACGTTAGTGACACTACAGCCTCACAGAAACTAGTGTTAGTCAAAAGTTATTTGTTGCTTTTCACTAATTTAGTAAGTGATTCTGTGGGGTGTGGACACAAATAGAGAGCCATAAGAATGTCTCCTGAGTTGCTCTTGAAGTGTCTATGGGTGGCAATATTTGCTTACCATCAAGTGACTGTGAATTATATTTATTAATAAGAGTGACAAATAACAGTGTTTACATCAGAACAATGATTGTCTTAAGATAAGAAAACATGACAAAACCTGTCTCGACATGAGTTACGTATTGTGGAATTGGGTGTGATTAATGTAAAAGTTTCATGTTGATGAATATGATCAATACAAGGTCTGCTATTTATGTATCCGGCACTGGCCAGTTACAGAACAATATTAAAAAAGTAATCATAACATTTAACAATAGAACTCTTTGGGTGAAGAATACAATTTGTTTCATGTAGTTGTCATTTGTTTATCCGTTGTGGCGTCATTTAGAAGATTGCTTGTCTTTATCAACATGGATTTAATTTGTGAAAATTTTCGTGCTAGGATTCATTACGATTTTCGGCGAAGGCTAACTCAAAAACAGTGCATTAATCAACTCATTTCGACTTTTAAGGACGAAGTACCATCAAAAACAATTGTGTATCCCTGGTTAAGTAAGTTTAATCGAGGGCGGTTTTGTGCTTACGGACGAATTTAAAGAAGGTTGTCCTAAATCGCTTATTGTACCTCAAAATATTGATGCTGTGCGGGCACTAATAATGCAAGATCGTCATGTTACATATCGCGAGATAGAGACGTCTCTGGACTAAGTACCTATGACAAGTATACATAAAATATTACACGACCATTCGGCTGTAAAAAAAAATTTTCAAGTTGGATTCCGCACAACTTGAGAATTAAGCAAATACGGGCTCGTGTCGATTGATGTAAAAAATGTTACAAAAGTACAGTCAGGGTGCGTCAAAAGCTGTCTCTAATACTACACAGGTGATGAATCTTGGATATATGCGTATGTCCTGATCCTATGATGTCCTATGATCCTGAAACTAAACAACAACCAACGGTTTAGGTATTCCAAGATGAACCCAACAAAAGTCATTCGTTCAAATAGCACTTTGTGTTGACATATGGCTACAGTTCCACTAGAGGATCGTAAAACGGTTAATTCGGAATGGTACACGACCATTTGTTTACCAGAAGTCTTTGAAGAAATAAGAAAGAATAACCGACAGCGCAGAATCCTTCTTCATCATAACAATGCCAGCTGCCAAACATCGGCCGAAACAACTCAGTATTTGGAAGATCAAAAGATCGAATTAACGGGTCATGCGCCGTACAGCCCCGAATTGCTCCCCACGACTTCCATTTATTCCCAACCGTGAAGAATAAATTACGTGGTCAACGTTTGTTGAGCCGTGAAGAGGCTGTTGATGCGTTCTAAATGCACGTTTTGGAGATATCACAATCAGAATAGAAAAAGTGCTTCGAGAATTGGGTCCAACGTATGCAAAAGTGCATCGATCATCACGGCGAATATTTTGAATAGCAATAAAACTATAATGAATGCTATATGTTTGTTTCACTTTGATATTCCGCATACATAAATAGTAGCCCTCATATCAATTAATTGTACTTTCTATCCAAGAATCTGCTATAACTTAAAATTCTTTATAAAGACGTTAACAAGATGTATTTGTAATGTAATATTAAATTATTATTATATGTATCAATCATCAACAGCCTTTACTAGTCCACGGCTGGACACATGCATGGCCTCTCCTTAGACAGGAGGTTTTGGCCTACTATACCAAGGTGGCCCGGCGGGTTGGTGTTTCAAGTTTTCCTTCTCTTTGCAGTGCTGTTGTCCTGCGTCGTTTATTCCCTTAGTCGGCTCTTACGACACCCACGGGATAAATAGGGGTGATGACACTCTCTATTCTTAATCCGTCACCATACGGTATGTAGATTTGTGTGTATGTTATATGTATATAGAACCCTTTTTTTTACTGAAGTAGATTATTTTCAGTGTTTTTTTTGTCATGTCTAATTATCTCTTTTAAATTTCAGAGACAAGATGGAACAAGAAATATCTGCACAATATTCGTCTCTTGTAAATGAAGCTTACAAAACATTATTAGAACCTTTAGCCAGAGGTAATCATTATTATAATTCTTCTTGTTTTTATATAAAATATCTGTGTATTACAATGTAAAGAAAATTCTTTGCATATTAAAATGAAATCTTTTTATTTGTAACAGGTATATACATGCTTCATCTCAGAGGAAAAAAGATTCCGGAAAAAACAGAAATCGATAAAGAATTTCTTATGAAAATAATGGAAAAGAATGAAGAAGTGGAAAATGCTGCATCTAAAGCGGAAATTATGCAGTTAAATGAAGAAAATAAAACTGTTATAAAAGACCTTCAGAGACAAGTTTCTTCTGCTTTCTTTGATGGTGATATGAAGAGAGTGATCAAATTATTAGGTGTTTTGAAATATTATACGAGCATAGACAGTCAGATACAAGCCTCTATAAGAACAAAAGGAATCATTCAATAAATTATTTAGTTATTAACGTACATGTCATTTCGAAATATATGAGATTTTAAAACCTAACAGCAATAATATATGGTTTACTTTCATTTGTTCTTTTTGTTACTATATAAGAATGTAGATGCGTCAAAATTTGTTAATACCATTTTTTCATGGTTCTGTGAAACTAAAACGACTAATGGAAATTGACTGTTTCGCCACCAGGCTTGATTCCGCAGATAAAGTCCACTGCGGTCTTCAGCGTGCGTTACGATTGCTCTGCCACATTATCACGTTTTCTGTTTGGATAACTGTGACGCACACAGCCTAACGTCTCTTAACCCTGCACTTACAAAAAAAAACTATAAAATCGTTCATCAATCTTATATTGACAAAGCGAGTGATGAATAATACTCTAAAAGTTAAATGTAGAAGTTCATCATCATTCATTCATCATCAGCCTATCGCAGTCCACTGCTGGACATAGGAATCTCCCATTGCACGCCACTTAGATCGATTTTAGGCTTCTCGCATCCAGCTCCTGCCAGCCATTAAAAGAAGTTAAAAAAAAGTTAAAGCCATTAGAAGTTCATTTAAAGATATTTATAATAGTGTATATAATATTATATTGTTTAGAATAAAAGGTAGAGTTAGCGAGAAAAATAAAATAGGTACATTGAAAACGTGAGTTTTTTTTGCATGTTTGAATCTTGACACACAAATTCCTAATTATGGTTCTTATGGTCTAGTAGTCTATTAGTAGTGATCCTGACTGCTAAGCCAGAGGTAGTGGATTCGATTCCCACCCAGGACGAAAAAAACATGAGTGATGTTGGTGTCGATTTGAAAACGTTCGTTTTCATTTGACTGATCATAGTGAATACCAATATATTACTTTTCGATTTTTTTTTTGTTTAAAAAGACAACTCCCGCATTAGGAATACATTCCTGTGTCGCAGGGGACTTTACAAACATACATGAAACGGACACAAAGAACACCCAGACTCAGAACAACAATTTGTGGATCACACAAAGTGTCGTCCCATGTGGGGTTTGAACCCACAACACTCGGCGTAGTAGGAAGCGGCGAGGTGACCGCTTAAACCACTACGCCATCCGTGCAGTCAATCAATTAAAACGTCAATCAATTAAATCAATTAAAAAATCAATCAATTTAAAGTCAATCAATTAAAAACATACGTTCTGAAAACGAGGCGTAACTGAATCAGGGCTCAGACCAGGACCCGGTCCGGTTATATTGGTAAAGGCGCAATGTCTAAATTGTTGTTAACGTAACCTACCATACCTAAAGTACCGATATTGACATAGAGCAACAAATAGGCAAGTAAAATAAATAAATGGCAAACTGAAGAGATGAACTGACTTTTGCCGTTTGCGTTTTGTTAACGTTTCGTTGTTTGCCACCTTAATAGTAGAAAATTATTGAGCAAGTAAATATTTTTAACAAAAATCTTTTACACTAAGGATGTTGTATCCCTATGTCACAGTTTTATTACAATTTCACATTAAAAACAGTTGTCTACAGACAGTTAAACTTTTACATTAAAAAAACTGGCAGTGCGCTTGTGACTCGTCAGCTGCAAGCGTTCATGGGCAGCCGTAGTCCTCGTTTGTCTTTTATATCATAAAAAAATTACAATACCTATCGGTGAACCACACAATAGGTATTCCAATAGAAGCGTACTTTAAGTGGTGTGGTTGGGCGCAAAGTATGTAAAAAAATGTGAAATATAAAATGTGCCCAGGCACTGCACGATCATAATTTCAAACAAAGTAAAATGTCTAGGTGATGCATTGTGACTCTGTTTTTTTTTACCTTTGTACATAGGTACATTATGTCTATCGTTATAGTATTTCATAAGGCTTAGCCGATTGCCTAGATGGTATGTCTTTGGATTTGCCTGTATTGTAATCATTATTTATATACATAAAAACATATCTTATCATATGTTTTTAAATTTAACTCTATTAACTTGATATTTTATAATATAAATTATAATAACTGTATAGCAAACGTCTACCAAAAAGCTCAAGGAACCTCGTTCCGACCGGAGGTCCATAGGGGGTCACGCTGTTTTTGTTTATTAAAATGATTTCTTGTCATATTAATTGTATAATATTAACTATTTTCAAATTGGCAAATCTACTCTTGTGCACGACCAAACCCGCACCTTTGTAGTAGATAACTAGCTGGCGTCCACGTATTGGTATTGCATTCATATTAAATAGGCACAAACTTTACATATGAACTTAATTTTTGTACATAATTTAGTAGCAATAAAATCATCATTCTGTAAAGTTATCTTCTCACTTATTAAAGTATCAACCTATTAATATTGTAACGGACACTACCCCTACACTCTTGTGTTGTAAGTATGTGGAGTTCGAACGTTCTATAAGGGTTCTCGTATCCATAACATTTTTTTCTAGCCGCGTAAAGGACCACCCTCGAGTCTAAATGCGGAAATCGGAGCCCACAACCAATACCAATACCCGTAACATTTAACGCGTTGAAGAATGCTCCACTAACCTAATATCTTAAGATATCATCATCATCATTAAACTAATACCTAAACATTAGAAGTACTGTCTCAAAAACGAAAGGTGCAATAGAAAGATCATTAATGACTCTTGCAACAAAAACGGCCAAGTCCGTTAGATAATTATTCATTAGGTACAAAATATTAGACACACGTATTTGTTTCATTTTTTGCCACAGATAAAGCTGACCAACACTGACTAGGTGCTTATTTATTACTTTGTAATTTCTTAGAACCACTCTCACTGTGATTAATGTTCCCCGATATATTATTTGCATTTCACTTATTAGGAATAATGGTTTTGATACTTGGTATACAAGTCCCGCATGGAAGGAAACGCGAAAGATCTTTTCTTGGATGAGAGTAAGAATAGACAGTTGGGTTTTTTATGTACCGTATTTCTTTTATGATTATTTTTCTCATACTTGACATTCTTTTAAGAGATGAGGATTCCTGATAATTGGACTGTGTCCATTGTCAGTAAAGGAATGATAGTTACGCCTTTACTTTTATAGTCACTCAAAGTTTACTTTCTTTTAGTTATTTTCAACAAACACACAAAGTTACTACAGATATTATAAACTAATTACTTTTTCTTTCTTTCTCCTGTCTCCAATGATCCTCCATCTGGTTACGGTTGTAGAGCTCTCCACCCTAGTCACGAATTAGGGACAAGCCTTCAAATGGAAAGAAAAAGGTGGATATAAGGATTGGTGTGAATAAACAATAGCTTGCGCAGGTCAGTGTTAAAACATACCTGTAACTCAGCTCGACTGCATTGATGCCGTAGTGGTTTAAGCTTATCGTTTTCTGTTACGTAACAATCCATAAATTGTTCTTCGTAGTCTGGGTGTTCTTTGTGCCAGTTTCATGAATATTAATCTTTGTCAAACCCCCCCCCCCCCACCCCCACCCCTCCGGGCAAACAGGATATATTCCTAATAAGAGTATTGTCTTTTAAAAGAAAGTATGAAACATAAGTCTGGTTGTGCTTACAAACTTGGAGCAGTCTAACCATGACATTTGAAATAATATACTTACTTAGAAGGCTGGAAATTCTTGAGACGATATAGTGTTCGCAGGTTTACTTTCTGACTGACGTGAGCAGCTTCAGCTCACTAAGAGAGAGTTGAGTCAATAAGTAGGCCTAGGTTTTTATCTACTGGACCGAAAGGTGTAACTTAGCCGTTGAAGACGATCTTTGATATTGGAGCAGTATCCAATTATGTAGCCATAACTTCCGTCGAAAACACCTCTTCTAAACCATGCAGGTACTTTTATCTTAGTGGTGTCAAAAATCTGAACAATATAATTATTTAAATGCATAAGAAATATCTTTCAAAAATTTTCTGAATGTGCATCCACATTATTTAAGCTTTCTCAAGTATCAAGTCGACAAACTCCCGCTATACAAAAACTTAACATTTCTCGTAGTGGTCTCAAGAAAGTTTAACAGCAACCCGCCGCATCAGTATCCAAGAGTTGTCGACAGGCGAAATACCTCCTGTCTGTCTCTCAAAATATTCGATAAGTTATTGCCAAGATGTGGAGTAGGTGTCTTGCCCTATTGGTCTTGTGCTTTCTTGGAGGTAAGTTTAGATATATTTCGATTATTTAGGTTTACAAGCCAAATGACAGAACTCTTTAAATAAGACTTTCATATCTCAAATAGTTGTTTTTTAATATTATGTAAATAACGTTAGTAAATTTACAAACCAGCGATTTAAATTTTTAAAAGTTTTTTCCGTGCGGAAATCCCCTCGGATACCACCTACCGGTGGCATGTCGGACTCGAACCGACTAAAACCGCACGCCGTCTCGGGTACTAATAGCCGGGGAACCAGGTATACCCTAGAAAGGAAGTCAATTTTCATATACCCCTCCTCGGGCGACCGTAGGCGCTGTCCGTCGCAAACTGTTATATAGGACGGTTAGCACTGAGGCTTTGCCGGTGTTGGCGGGTGTGCTTCCGGTCGATCTCGAGGTGCAGAGACGTGCAGCCATGTACTATTCAAGACAAAACATGGAATGCGATTTCTTGGGCGCGCGGGATAACGGTAAAATTACAAGATTGCTTCAACAGCAGTCCGATGTCTATAATGTCCTCATAGACGAATGGCAGCAACGCTGGGACGAATCATCCAAGGGGCGCCATCTTTACCAATTTTTTCCATCTGTTCGCGAACGGTTGTCGAGGACATGGCTTGAGGTGGATCACTGTGTCGCTCAATTTCTTACGGGTCATGGTAACTTTAAGAGCAAGTTGTATTCATTTAAATTAGTCGAGTCGACATTGTGTCAATGCTCAACACCTAACTCTCATTATGAACAATCTGCTCATCATATCCTCTGGGAATGTATTATTTGGTATAATGAACGTAATATAATGCTGAATAGCTTGCAGGTGACATCTGGGGCGGTATACTATGGGGATCTTGTGTCAACTAGGGTGAATTTCCGTGCGTTTAGGCGATTCTGCCATACATATTATAGAAATCAGATATAGCTCACGTAGGACCCGTAATATTTTGTGGCCGTGGTGCTTCCCTGTTTAAAAGGGTGTATGCCTATTTTACTTCATTTTGTCTCCCGCTTTGCTAAGGAGGGAAGTGGATTTACTGTATTTCCAACTCCTCCAATTTTCTTCTGATTAATTTCGTTGCGGGTTCCAAGACAGTTTAATTTCTTCCTGGGACTTCCCGAGTGTCATAACTCGGTGTGTTCGTGGGTGACTGCTGTGGATCCTGGTGTACAGGAGTTACAGTGGTGGGCGTGTGGGTGGGATTAGTCCCAATACCCCTCCTCCTAAGCCAAAATATATAAATCCGTTTAAGCTACACGGCGTGTCAAAGAATCGTCACCAGGGGCGGCCTTTAGGGGTGGCGATCAGGGCAACCGCCCACGGCCTCACTCACTCGCACAACAACGGGGACTCTTGTCTATTCAAAAAGTATATTAAGTTTAACAGCAGTCTGGTTACCGTAGTAGAGGCTCTGTCAAGTCTGGGATCAGACGGCCCTGTGTGAGACGTGTGTATTATTATTATTAACACATTTCTTTCAGTTAACTCTGAACGTTACTTAGATAAAGTAATTCAGGGATCTCCAACTTCCATTGCGAAGTATCCAGTGCTGGCTCAACTCTTACTCGACGCTTGGGGCTCCCAGGAGTATTTGCAGCACTGTGCAGGGATCATTCTCACATCCAGACATGTACTGTCAGCGGCACATTGCTTCCAATATAATGAGAATACAAAGAGAAAGTAAGTCATTAAAACAAATTAGAGATCGGCCGAATGTTTATTTTATTTTATTTCTATGACCAATGTAACTTGAACTAAGAGTATAATAGGCTTTTGTAATATGACAGGTCACAATAATTATGCTAGTGATAGATTTATATAATTTATGCCTTTCGTCTCTTCTTCTACGTATAAACATTAAGTATTCATAATGTGATAAGCATCCGTGATCCATACATGTTTAAAAAAAACTTGTACAGAAGAACTTTCTTCACATTTTAATGTAAATAGACTAGTCTATGTAGTAGTGGATTAAGAATACGGAACGGAACCCAAATCCATCCCGTAGGTGTCGTAACAGCCGACTAAGTGCGCAAAACAACGAAGGACACCAGCATTGCAAAAAGAAGGAAAACTTGACACAAACCCTATACCAACCCGTCTAGCCAGCGTGGTATAGTAGGCCAAAACCTCCTTTCTAAGGAGAGGCCTATGTCCAACAGTGGACTATTAAAGGCTGTTGATGTGATGTGAGACTAGAGATTGCTAGGTGGTCTTGCAGTCCTCTGCTGAACATAGGTCTCTGCCAATATGACTACGCGTTCCGAAGCTCAAGCTACAAAAAGAGGCCTTGACAGAACGCAAAAACACCCAAACTCCGAAACAAATATTTGCAGATCAAACAAACATTTGCTCCAACCCAAATCGAACCCACAGCAATCGCATACACTACCATACTGCACCACCTATAACGTGTATAAAACCGAAAGTAATAAATTATAATATACAAAACTATCACGGTCTTTATGACCTGTTATTACAAAATTGTTATGTATTACAAAATTTAGAAGTATTTATGTATGTTTATTTAGAAATATATGGACCCGGTTGACGGTAATAAGTTTGCTCCTTATTTCGTAAGTGGTAGTACAGTCTCTTCTCTGTCCTATCCCTTTGGGGATAGAAGACGTGAGTGTATGGAGTCTAGTTTAATACGTTACGCCACCCGAGTATTCTGGGTAAATTCTGAATTGCAGGAATCATAATCAAAAGTGCAGTTAACGCTTTTTGTAAATAGGTGTAGGTTTGAATAAATCTATGAATGATCGAATAATTAGGATATATGTTACAGCTACTCCGTTCCAACGCACTGGAGAATTCGAGTTGGTTCGTCTTACAGAACTAGAGGTGGGGCAATGCACAAATTGAAAACGATAATTACTCATGAAGACTTCAACAAGTATTACTACACCAACGATATCGCTATAGTGATTGTATCTAAGCAGTTCACGTTCAATAATAATGTGAAACAGAGTACTATCATCAAACAAGGAGTTGAAATTAATGTTGATTCTCCTTGCCAGCTCGTTGGATGGGGAGTTCTGGAGGTAAGTAGAATAAGAGTTTCTTAATTTTAAAACTTATTGGAATTCTAAAGTTTCACAATCATAAACGGTTTGCTCTCTCAAGTGTATTGTCATGAATGTTTTGTGTTTCTCATTAATCTTTTTAAATACATATTTGTTCACCTTTGAAGACTAGTCATAGCTGACATGAATGATTTTTACACAATAAAAGAGTTAATTTCTATTATATCCAGTGATGAGAACCTTTTTTCTTCATTGCAGATTTATAAATCGATTATTACGTAACTATTTCTAAATTAATAGAAACGCTTCAAAACGCTTTTAGTCTATATTTAGTTTTGAATATTTAAAATGTAAAAAAGAACTTTAAAATGATAAAATTCAAGTTTAAGTTAAAAATAGCGAACCAATAAAAGTGATACACACTAGAAATTATTGAATCTTAATTCTTAGCTTAAATTGACCTGTAACTTTTTTCATCTATTAAAACTTCTTACATAAAATAGAGATTTTTAATCGAATCGCGAACGGTTTATATTATCACTAATTCACTATTTATCGATTAACTTAAAATTAAGTGTACAGATGTAGTTAACAGAGATAGTAATTTATTGTTAGGTAAAATTGCCTAAATAAATTTGTCTCGGCTTTATTCCAGCCCGATGGACCTCAACCGGATCAATTACAACACACGATACTAAACATAATAGACCATAAGATATGTGAATATCGCTACAGTACTATTGGAGCAGTAATTCAAGACTCAATGATGTGTGCCGGACGCCTGGACACCGCAGGGCCAGACGGATGCTTTGGAGATTCCGGAGGTCCCCTGTTCTACAAAGGCCTAGTCGTAGGGTTGGTCTCTTTCGGATATTCTTGTGGCCATAAATATTATCCTGGCGTTTATACGAAGGTTTCCCATTTTACCAATTGGGTGGTAAATACTGTTAAGAAAAATAAATGATTTTAATAGTTGTTAGCGTTTTCTTTATAAATAGCTACCTGCCAAGCCTGCCTGCCTATAAAAATTGTACCTGCCAAGGTTCGCTGTGGTGGCAACACACATGTAAAGATAAGTATAATGTTTTTTTTTTTTTCACTTTATTAAACATTTATAATACATTTTTTTTCATGCTCAAAATTTGCCAAACTGTAAAAACAGTTTGTCGGCAGTAGTTCTCGTTTATGGATACATAATAATATAAATGTAGGTATTTTAATACAAAATTTGTTAACATTTCCAATATAGCATTGGTAATTATCTATTGTGAGCTAATTTACGCGGTAACCTCCAATTAGGTAGGTATGTACCTGAAATGAGCACTGGAACACCCTCAGTTATAAATGACACCATTTGTAATTTCATTGTTTAGCGTTTTAGTGGAGCGTTGGCAGCTTGTTATTGGTAGGTAAAAATGGTGGTACCTGGTGGCTAAAATGTTTGTTACATTTGTAAATAAAATTTGCTAATACACCAATTTTTTAAGTCTGGAGTTTTGGACTCAGGAAATAGCAATGACCTGATCTACCTGTTTTAGGCAAATCAGCCTAGAAGTTTATGAATCGCTTTTTTTGGTTTTTCTCTTTATTCACATTTTTGGTACGATATAAATATGAATGTAGAACACTATAATGAAGTCAATCTTTAAAATTTAAAAGTAACTCATACTCAAATTCATACAAATACTTTACCACACTTTTATATTTGTACGGCAACACCGCATGCAAGTTGTCATTCTATCGTGTCAGAATTTATTTATGGGATTGCTTTTTATGTTAGAAAAAGAACATCGATTTGTGATTAAAATTTAACATCACGTTGAATTTTTAAATCCACCTCATTTTCAAAATATATAATGGGCAAAAAGGGTGTTGTTGCGTTTGTCAAAGATTTCTACTACGATCCTTTCAAGTGGTAAGCTAACCTAACCTCATTTTCTAAAATGTGATAGTTGCGAAATGTTATCATATTCATAATAACTCGTTTGATCACATTTGCTACATCGTAACCTTATCAATATTTTACGCAATTCGTGAAATAACAGTTCACCATAGAGTTCTAATTCTTGTTTACTAAATCTGTTCGCATTTCGTACCGATTCGTTTAAAAAAATACTACTAGACTTTACAAGGAATAGAATAATATTTGTACCACTAGCAAAGCTACGGGTAGAAGCTAATTTCAACTATAAAAGCAAGTTGGTTTAATTACATTTTTCTCTTACTAAGACTAGTTTATGCCTACGGCGTTGTTTGTGCAAAGGCAATATTTTTCCTTTGGGAACCCTATATGCCATTTACCGTGTAGCCCTGGACACATTTATGCAAAACTCATGATAATGGGATAAACAGTATAACAATGCTTAAAATGCAAACAAACCAACATTGTTGTATTTATGTGTTAAAACATTAAAATCTTGATTTATTTGAATTCAATTTTAAAAACTCGTTTTTGACCTATAATTGATTAATTCTTGAGAAAGTTCTATTCAATTTAACAATATCCTATAGCCTTTTAAAGGGCCTACAATCTATCTCTTTGCCAATTTCATGCATGTCTGTTCAATAATTCTTTCCTGATTAAGGAGCAAATGTAAATACACCATCTATCCTCAGAAACTAACAGATTTATTGTCAAAATTGGAATTAGGAGAGAGTTTCCTTTAAATAAAAGGAAACTCCTTTTATTTAAAAGAAACTCTCATCTATGTCTTGTGTTGTCCAATTTTAAGCGGTTGCTACGCTGGTTCCTAGTACGCTGAGTGTTGTGGGTTCCATCCCTACATGGGACGACACTTGTATGTATCCACAAATTGTTGTTCTGAGTCTGGGTGTTCTTTGTGTCTGTTTCATGTATGTTTGTAAAGTCCCCCGTGACACAGGATAGATTCCTAATGCGGGAGTTGTCTTTAACAAAAAGTAAACTCAATGTTTTAACCAATAAATGCCTGTAAGATATACTTCTAATAGGTAATTAAGGTAGTAAATGACATATACTATTTTTAAATTGCTAAGGAAAGGTAAAAGATGATTGGACTATGTTCTGGGAAGATTTCTGTTTTATAATAAATATTTCGCTATATTACAGTAAAACAGTGGTTTGTAAATGTGTATATAAATAATGAATATTTTTATTCACTCTAAATAGAAAATGTAAATTATATAGTATGTAAATTGTAGGCATTTGAATTTTTAAAGAGGGAGTTTACTTAAATGGGAATCAAAATCTTTTTCATTTTATTTCATTTATCATATTTGGAAACACGCGAGTTTTATTATCACGTAAATAAAACTCAAATCAAAATGCTTGCAATTTAGATTTAGTTTGCTCTATGTGTAGATAAATACTGACAGAAAAAAAAGAAACAAACAATAAAACGGAACTCGTGAGTAGGGTTACTAACCCCACACTACTCGAAGAGAACAAACCCTGCTCACAAGTGAGTAGCAGTGAGGTATTATTGTGTTAAAAAAATTTATAGCTTCAATTCTAGCCTGAGCTGCACCCCAGTCAGAGTTAGAGGTATAAAATAAACTGTAAATGCCATCCTTTCGGAACAAATAAAAAATCCGTGACATCCCTAGTAGATACCACAAACAACAGAATATTATTTTATAAACAACAAAAATACCACAGTCTATAGAATATGTGTTTACAACAACATTCATAATAAATTATTTCCTTTATTATCTTTGCAGGGCATTGGTGAAGAGTGTAGGTATATTCGCAGTGGGCGTTGTAATCGCGAGCGAATGTTCAGGCCTAGAGATAATGCCAGCTATTCCACAATAAAACATTCGTCACATCAACATAGGTTACAGTTAAGACAGCAACATGTTTAATTTATTAATGTTACTTTTTCTTGTCGGGGGCTGTGTTTGTCAAGGCAAAAGGCCAAATTTTGTCCTTATATTAACGGACGATCAAGATATCGCCCTTGGGGGCATGGTTAGTACGACAGCAATAGAATTGTTAAATAAATGAATTAGTTACAAATGCTGTTGTTTTATTACTTTTTTATTTCAGGCACCAATGGACAACGTACGGCGTTTTATTGCGAGTGAGGGTGTTACCTTTACGAATTCAGTGAGTATGTTTTGATAACTTCTTGTTACTAAACCAATAACATGTCTTATACGTAATGAAAACTGTAATCCAAACCTATACGAGAGAGTTTATCATCATCATCTGACCTTGTTTTTTAGGTGGGTTTCGAAGTTTAAAAAAATGCAGTACCTACTTTCCCGCTTCCAGCGTTTATTGCACGAAATTTTGACGTTATAATAAAACTCATTTATAAAACTTATTCCATGTACAGCTTTCGTGAAGATTTAAACCATTTTAAATATTCGTAATAATTACGATAGGTATGTATATAAACAACATAAATATAGATAAGGTACATTATTTTTATTTTATTTTAAATAGAGGTTATCAATTCTGATTTTAGTGTGTGTTATGCCTAAATAACTTTTTATAGTGTAGTGTACTGTGAACATTGATGATTATTATACTGACTCTTCACTAGGTATTAACCGACCCCAAAGACCCGAAAAAATCTCAATTCTGTTTATATTCGTTCGTCATTTATGAAACAATTTTCGAAATCCTTTTTCATTTGGTATACTTGCCGTTTAGTCCCATTATTATATATAAATGGCTCGCGAATTGAGAAACACCGTAGCTAAGTTGTCTCGCAATTTTTTAGTTTATAACCGATGAAAGTCCTATTTCTTCTGTCAGAGAAGCTACAATTTAAGAGAAAAAGTTTATACGGTTACCGTATTGTGCACTCATCATAAAATTGTGCATATACATACCCATTGTCAGGAATAAAGAAGAGGAAGAGATAAACTATCCCTTGGACCAGAAAATAGTAACTATAGGTAGCTTCCGAAAGAAATTAAAAATAACTTTAATTGAAGAGAGAAACTGCTGTCAAAGTAGGTTAGGGAACATACCCACCCACCTATAAACCACACTACGTGACCCATTTTTCACAATTTTTACCCCCCCTTTATTGGTCTCGGTGTTTACCCGTAATATATGCCAAGAGCCCCCTTCTCCTTATTCATAAATATGATTTTAAATCACTGAAAACTGAAAAAAAATATTCTGGCTCACATTAATCTTTATTAATACATCGTTAACCATATATGATATTGAGTACGTGATGAAAACCTTAACCCTTCCACCGCTCCTGTAACCAAATGTGGTATTGTTTTATGGCCCTGAATGGGTTACGTAGTATGGTTATGTTCCATTATAGTTATGTAATGCTTACGGCAGTCATTACCCCCAAGGAGAGCCAACCATCCCGGTCTTGAGTAGCCTGCATCCATCCAACTTATGTCAATTAACTGCCTTAGGCGTTGTATTTCCTAGTACACAAACAGCTCTAAGTATATTTAAGTCGCAGTCAAAAAGTAATTACCTACTTCGTTTCGACTGCCTAGATAACTTACTAACGAGGCAACGTTTACCTACTTCGTAATTGAGGACACTACTTCACTTCTAAGACTTTGGGTATAGCACGTCCAATCTGTGGAACAAGTTATCGTTTGCGGTATTTCCGGACCGATACGACCTTCAAGAAAAGAGTATACTCCTTCCTATAAGGCCAGCGACGTGTTTGTGGCTCCTGAGTTGCAGGCTTTCATGGTCGGTTGTAGTCACGCTCCATCAGGTGACCCGTCTGTTCGTCTGCCGCCTTCTATATAAAAAAACGTATTTATTAAAAGATAGTTACATATAGGAGAGGCATATGACCAGCAGTGGACCGCGATAGGCTGATGATGATAATGATGTATAGGATTTTGCTCACGAGTGTTTTTCGGGAATCAGGGTCAGGGCCGTGACAAAATGCTTTACCTCTTGAAATCGGTAACTAAAAGTACGTAAAAAGTCGAAGTTCAGCTTCAAAACTCAAAGCCGACCCCAGCCTAGTTTGGGAAAAGGCTCGGAGGATGATGTGATAGTTAATTAATTAGCGCCTGGGGCCTCGCGACCTAAGTATAAAAATCTTGCGCGAGAATTTCGCGCCTAACGTGTGCACAAAAAAATTCATTAGCGTGACGTGAATTTTTTGGTGTTTAGGATTCATGTTCGCCTGTAATATTGACAGACTGTGACTTTGACGAGCCTGTTGGTCTGGTGGTCAGTGACCCTGACTGCTAAACCGGAGGGTTCGATTCCCACCCGGGACAAATATTGTGTAATGAGCACGGTCATTTGTTTTGTGTCTGGGTGTAATTTATCTATAATATGTATGTCTTTATAAATATATAAGTATGTTTATCAGCAGTCTGGTTACCATAGTACAGGCTCTGACTAGTTTGGGATCAGACGGCCGTGTGTGAGATGTGTGCAATATACTGTCAGTGGCAACTGTCGTGGGTTATGCTTTTATGTTCCAGTAGCAGCATGTGTTGCGCTGATTTGATTAATATTAAGTATCATCATTAAAACTAATTTCATAAAGACAAGAGCCTCCCACTGTCTCAAGAGCCTCCTACTCGCCCAGAGCCTCGCAAAGGCTAAGGCCGCCACTGCCCAGAAGGACCGCTTCACTTATCGCTTTATGGGCCGTAGCCGTAATTGCACTTACAGGCAGAAGTTGCTGCAAATAAGACATGAAACGCATGTTTTCTACTAAAATCCACCTATCTATCTATCTAATAAATAAAAATGAGTCGCCGTAATGTATGTACGCGCATAACTTTCGAACGACTGCACCAAATTTGATATTTCTTTTTTTGTGGTTATTGCCAGGACAAATCTTTTGTATAAAAAAAAATAAAACAAACAGATTTTTATTACATAACATATTATGAAAATTGAGTGAGTGAATGAGACAAAAGACTGAGAGCTCTATACTTATATTATAAAGAGGTAAAGTTTGTGACTTTAAATGTTCAGGGTAATCTCAGGAACTACGGGTTCGAATTGCAAAAATATTTTAGTGTTGGATAGCCCCTTTATCGAGGAAAGTTATAGAACATCACGCTACTACCAAAAGGAGCCGAGTATCAATAAAAATTATTGCGAAAATGGAGAATATTTATTCCTTTTGAGAGAAGGAGGTGACACTTCACCTTCTTCTCTCAAAAGGAATCGGCTAGCTTCGTAATAAAGATAAAAATGAACGCAATGAAAAATGCAGAACGAAAAGCACATAAACTCAACTTTACGTCGCCGCCATCTTAAAATTAAGTTCCGATTCATCATCTACAGTACGTGACTTCACCAATCTGCTGTCCGAGCCGAGCCAGCTTACTCACTGGACTTTACGTCCACAACCACAAGACTGTTAACAACACCCTCCAAGGCGGCTGCTACGGCACCCAGTGGAGAGACACGGATGAGAAGCACACCTTCGCCACCGTACTGAAAAAAGCCGGCTACGAAACGTTCTATGCTGGAAAATATTTAAATGAGGTATGTAATCTATCGTCATAGTCGGAGCATAGTGTCAGATTTGACATTTATTGATTATTGTATTTTTATGGCGTGGTAACAAGACCTTTAAGCCAAGTCTTAATTTTTGATAGATAACTTCACTATTTTCACTTCAATTCAATGTTCAAATGGGGGTTCTAGGCGGGAATCTGTCTAAAATCCTCCGCCTTTTCAGTTCAAATTCCCGCCTAGAACTCCATTTGACATTTATTCAACTTTACAGGGCAGCCATTTCAAATAATTATGTTATTTTTTTAACATAACTTTTATAATTCTAAATCTGTAATTATGAAAATTAGCATACAAGTGAAAAATATGTTTTAAAATGCAATAAAAATAACAACTAATAGTTATTCAATTTTCTAGAAAAATCTTAATTTTACTTTTGACGCTTATCAAACAAACACTGAATAATTTAAAATACATATAATTTTTCTTGAATGTAGTAATAATATTTAGACAATGTATTGTCCAAATATGGTAAAAACTGAATTTCCTTTTTTTTTTAAACCGACATTATGCTACGATCATGACGTTATAATGTGGTGTTGCTATTCAAAGAGTGAATAACGCTACCGGTGCGGTCACTAGCTTAAACTGCCATATAAATGTTATGCATCTAATCCGTTCCATTCCACTCCGGAATAGATAGACGGTATGAAATTTACAATTGTATCCTGGATACACTTGTATGGGGACATCTGAATTTTAATTGACTGCACGGATGGCGCAGTGGTTTAAGCGGCCGCCACGCCGCTTCCTCCTTCCGCGCCGAGTGTTGTGGGTTCAAACCCCACATGGGACGACACTTTTTTTGATCCACAAATTGTTGTTCTGAGTCTGGGTGTTTAATGTATGTTTGTAAAGCCCCCCGCGACACAGAATTCATTCCTAATGCAGTAGTCTTAAAAAAAAAAACCTTAGATACAGCTAAAACAATATACAGTTTTTTGGGACCGACCTAAGTTAATAAATGAACTTTTAATATTAGTGTCCGTGTGGTGACGGATTAAAAATACGGTATACTACGGTACAATCCCGTGAGTGTCGTAAAATCCGAATAAGGGAGCAAACTACGCAGGACACAACAGGCACTGGAAAGAGAAGGAAAACTCGAAACAAACCCTATACCAATCCGATTGGCCAGCGTGGTATAGTAGTCAAAACCTCCTTTCTAAGGAGAGGCCTATGTCCAACAGTGGACTTTTAAAGGCTGTTGATGAATATTAATGGTGGTAGAAAAATAAACTCCTCCTCCTGATTTGCAGGCGTTCATGGGCGGCGGTAGTCGGTTTCCATCAGGTGACTCTTCCATAAAAGAATAATCCTTAAAATATTGTTCTGTTCAGTATGGTGTCCACGAAGCCGGCGGGCCGGAGCGTGTCCCTTCAGGCTGGTCTGAGTGGCACGGCCTGGTCGGCAATTCCGTGTATTATAACTACACAATATCCAACAACGGAGTGCCTACCCATTCCACCGATCAATATCTCACCGATGTTATTGTAAGTGTACATGATGATATACAGTCTGACGATTAGCTTATCACAAAAATTTCAATAATAGTTAACGCGTTAACGTTAAAAAAATATTAGAACTAAAAGACAGAAATGCAAATTTAGAACAAAATAAAAGCAATAAAATAACGTCGAATTAGAACACCATGAGTTAACATGAGTCGCTGCGTCAGCGTCGGCGATTATCGGCGACATCAAAGCGACGACATTGTAAAGTGAGTGCAAAGGTTTGTGAAAGCTTACAAAACACTCTGTACATGATGGTGATAGAAATGAGTGCAGAGAAATGACAGGAAATCAGTGATAGGCAATTCTTTCGTGAGTATACCTGAACCCAAACTTCCCCTCTTAGTTATTCTGTAGGAAGGACTCAAAGGGCGGCACCACACTTGTGACTATAGAAATATAACCATAGAGAGAACACGGGGTACAGATGCCTGTAAGTGGAAGCGATACAGGCAACGAGAGAGATGGATGCCCGATAGTTCTCTCTGTCTCTGTTTATCGGCTACTTATTAACCCCTCATATTCCCCAGCCAAATAGCTCGCTAGAAAGAGATAAAGGGAAGTATCTATTATCCATATCTCTCGTTGCCTATTTTGCAAGATTGGGGTTTAATTTTAAATGTTTGCTTAATGTGTTAGGGATCTTTTAATGGTCAAGCAATAATATAATGGAAGAAAAGACTACAGAGACTCCTGAATTTATCATCAAATCATAGTTACCCAAAACTATTTATTGGACTCATGAAATTGAATCATATACGCCAAAACCCTAGGATTAATTGTTTACCTTCAGGCTCCATCTATGGATTACTTCCAAGATGCCAAATTGTGGTATTGTCATCGAACATACATGCTTCCTATCAAAATTCGATTACCACCTTAGTTAATACTTGAATGAATAAAATGAATGAATGAATGAAATGAATAAAAGTGTGTAAGAAAAAACAGATGGTTTGTATATTAATTAATTTATTTCTACTACTTTTATTATTAGAAAAATGTCACGTATATGCGACAAAAATACAAAATAATCACTATTGATTTTGTAACAAAACACTTTAATTTAAAAAGGCGTTCAAATGTATAAAAAAACACTTAAAAATTAAGTATTGAAACTGAGCGTTTTCCCCCATTGTTTAGCGCGAGGTAGCAGTCAGCTACATCGAGAATCAGACGGAGTCTAATCCATTCCTCATGGTGTTAGCTCCACCCGCACCCCACCAGCCCTTCACCCCCGCACCCCGTCACGAAGGGAAGTTCAGTAATGTGACAGCCATCAAGCACCCCAACTTTAATATCGCGGCTGAGGTGAGAAAACTACCAATGTTATGTAAACTTTGTATGGCACCACTGTTTGGTATATACTTTATTATTGCTTGCAAAAATAAACTCAATTACTAAATGATAAGAATTAAATTCAAAACCAAGTAACGATTTACATAGAATTATATTAAAATGTATAAAAGTTTTATCACTTCCATTAGGACCATCCATAAATTACGTTACTCGTATTTCATAGTTTTTTTTATCCCCACCCGTCGCTGTCCTTGTCACAGCTGGTATGACGTCACATATTTTGCTACTTTACATCTAGAAATTGTTAAATTAAAACAGCAGTTTCGAAATTAGTTTGATTTCCATTTAAATTAATTTTTAATAAACTTACCATAAAATCAAATACATATTGCAATATTAACAAAATAAAACACGATTAATTATATTACGGTTAATAATTCCAATTCGGGTTTGAAATGTGATATCTCGAAACTTAGGACCCCTCTTACTCCTTATCACCTATTATTAATGGATGACCCCTATTATTTTGTAAAACATTTATCTATAAGGAACATTTAGTAGTTTACGCCCCTCACAGAATAAACACTGGCTGCTCCGCATGCCTCCGTCCCCTCTCCCGCCCTCAACCCTCCCAGAGCTGGACCGCGTGTATCGCTCGCGGTGGGAGGCTCTGCTAGCCGTAGATGAGATGGTAGCAGATGTCGTCGGCACGCTGGAGACGAAGGGTCTATTAGACAATACCTATCTTATCTACACTTCGGATAATGGGTACCATGTCGGTGAGTTAAACTCTTTTTGTAAGCTGTTTGCAGTGACAAAGTTTAGATGGAATTTTAATTTTTTTTCGTTTGGTAGATCTCTCAGACTCAAATAAATTTCATAGGCCCAACGGCCCAACACCAATTACGGAGTGAGTCGTAATCAAGTTGGGCCTATGAAATTTATTTGAGTGGAGATGTACTTAGGAAGAGTATGTGACGTAGGTGTTTAATGTAAAAAAAAAATGTTTTTTAGAAAATATAGTTTAATACAAAGATAAAACATAGTTTGTGAAAAAAAATACTAATATGGAATTTTTATACAATATTATATTTTTTTAAATTACTATTTTTTATGACTGCTGAGTTGCAGACGTTCATGGGCGGCAATGGTCACCTTCCATCAGGTGACTCGTGTGCTCGTCTGCCCCCGTCAAACATAAAAAAAAGAGTTCGGCTTCAACTATAAATATATTTTTGTTGTCCTATCTTTTAATATAAAAAAGCAAAAAAGTTATTGATAGAGCAGAGATGTTTCCCCAGGGTTTGACATTGGACATTAGCCGACTTTTATTAAAACCGATGTTGTTTATATCGTACTGACTTTGCAGTTTCGACAGCTTTTTTTTTATAACTTTTTGCACAAGTACATGCATCGATGGAATTAATGCCTAAGGCATTCTCTGCCGGTCGACCGATTGTGCGATGCTGAGAAAGAATGAGGTAGGTGTATTTATGGGGGGTAATAAATAATAGGTTTTTATCAGACAGCATCACGACGACTTAACTATGGCTACCTTAATCACCACTAATAGATCCAATAAAATAAATTTTATGTAGGATTAATCTTTCTTCCAAACAACATAATATCTATAATAATATGATGTACCACAGGGCAATTCGCGCAAGTCTACGACAAACGCCAACCATACGAATCAGACATCAAGGTTCCACTCGTAATCAAAGGGCCGGGAATCGAACACAACGCCTCCTACTCCAATCCCGTTCTAAACATAGACATAGGACCTACTATCATTCATTTAGCGGGCCTGGTTCCTGAGGGTATGGATGGGAGACCGATTAACGTCCTGGCTGAGGAGAAAGCTGAGAGGTACATGCTCGTGGAGTATCGTGGGGAAGGAAGAACTGGGTCTGTGGATGAAACTTGCCCATGGAAATATGATGGGATCCACTTGGCTGTGAGTATCTGGTGTAATAATTTTTTTTTATCATTAATGTATTCATGTAATATCAAAAATCTATGGCTTCACTGATGGTAAGCGATTACTTACGTACAGCACTTGAAAAGTCAACAGTTACTTACCACTTTGGTTTTCATTTAATGGTTCGATATTTATCCCGTGGGTGTCGTAAAAGCCGACTAAGGGAGCAAACTACGCAGGACAACAGCACTGAAAAGAGAAGGAAAATTTGACACAAACCCTATATCAACTTGTCTGGTCAGCGTGGAATAGTAGGCCAAAATCTCCTTTCTAAGGAGAGGCCTATGTCCAGCAGTGGATTATTACTAAGGCTGATGATGATACATACGTATACACAGGTCTTTACCCCAAAAGACAGAGGCAGAGATTCTGTGGACTATAGTTTAGGTCCCATTTGTGTGAGATATATTTTTATATATTTACATAATAGGTGGCGATCCTACAAGCTATCAACCGTGCACATATGTTTCTGAATAAACATACTTCGATATTTCTAAATACATACGAATTATAGAAAAATTACACCCACACACAGAACAAAAGGATCGTGTTCATCACACGTTATTTGTCCTGGGTGAGAATCGAACACAAACCTCTGGCTAAGAATCAAGATCAACAACCACTATACTAACAGGTTACTTTTGTAATATACAAATAGACTATTATGTGTTTGACATTGGCACTATGGACTTAAACAATGCATAACTTATGTATAAAATACTGGGGTGTGACGTCATACCTTGCTATTGTCACAACTTCTTGATCGATACGTCACTATTTTTTAAACGCGAATGAACTATAATCTCGGACGGGATAGCCTAGTGCAGTGTTAGCGTATGCGACTGCTGTGCTGAGGTCTCGAGTTCTATTCTCAGGTCGGACCAAATGTTTGTGTAATCTGCAAATATTTGTTTCGGAGTTTGTGTGTTTTCTATGTATAATATGTATGTTTTTACAAAAAAAAAGTATATACGTATTCTATCAGTCAGTCTAGCTTTTATAATACAAGCTCTGTTTAGTTTGAAGCTTGATGGCTTTGTGTATCAGATGTTCTAAAATTTACTGAGACTCCACTTTCTTGAAGAAGCACGACCCTGTCGTGTATCGGTCTATCTGTCTTCGTTGGTTTATATCACATCATCATCACAACAACAGCCTTTAATAGTCCACTGGTGGACATAGGCCTCTCCTTGAAAGGAGGTTTATATATTAACACTAAATGTATCAATTTCAGGAGTGCTACCCACAATATGAATGCAAATGTCAAGACGCCAGCAACAACACGTACTCTTGTATCAGACACATTGCGGATAGGATTGATATGAAGTACTGCGAGTTTAACGACCTGGAGGTATTTCTTTTCTTTATCACTTGGTAGTTCTAGTATAATATATAACATTTCACTACACAGCGTTATATTAGTATGTTTGTTTGTTTACATTGATTAGTTATGTAACATCATGTTAATACTCTTATGAATGAAGCTACAAAAAAAGGCTGAAACGAAAGGAAATATTGCCAATATAAAAAAAAAAATGGATGAGGAGATGGCCTCACTGGAGTTTACACTCGAATTGTGACTAAGATCAGCGCATCTGATGCTGATTGCAGATTCACTTTAAAAAACAAATGAACGAAGTATGTAGTGATCGTAAATAGAAAACTACTGGTAGTTATTAAAAGGCCCGCCCTCTTTTCAATTTAATTTAGGGTGGGAGCAATTTTTAAGTTACAGGGCTTTTTTAATCATACGTTATAGGTCAAATACGGATATTGTCATAAACTTCAAGTGTAAAACTCGTATAAAATGATCAATATATGCAAAATTCATATTTTTTAACGTTTTTCGACAATAAATAATGAGATTTGATATTATACAGTCTGTTGAATTGATAGATGTGATAAAGATTTTTTAGTTAAAATAATTCAATATGTCATGTTTTCAATTCATAATGGTCTCTGATTTTATTGCCCTCTTCAACTGCGCGTGTTTGACTTTTGACTTAGCGCGTATTTGACTTTCTTTGACTTGTTTGACCTTAAGCGTATGATCCATTTTTTTACGGCTGGCCGCCTGATTATCACGAAACTTCTTTGGGAATATAATCGTCCTCAGAAGTGACGAAACAAGGTAAACGGATAGATTGAGGGAATTTCAGTAAGGGATACCGCAACTCTCGGCTGGTAAAGTGGACGAAGACAGGAGAAGTCACTTCAACAGTGCCATCAACGGGCCAATAGTTTATAATTGTTACGTAATCGTATCTTTAATTGTGTATCTGGCGAAGTCTAAAGACTTTGTATATGTATCTATAGCTAATTAGCTAATAATTAATTATACAGATCGGGTCGTTGATCTTAACCAATATCGGTTAGGCTAGGCGATGGCTGGAGCCTGTATGCCGTCTGTATGGACAGGTTGACTCAAAACTATGGTCCTTTCTTCAAAAGGCCTATCCAGTCCCTATACTGTACTCGCACAGTTTTATTTAACTTTGTTTACGGACTTAAAAAAAAAGACACCTCTGTGGTTTGTTTCAGCGTTTCTTCCCAGAGTGAGTCTTAGGAAATGCCGGCTCCTTCGACTTGTATAATACTTGTATAATATCTGAAAAGATTTACTTACAGAAATAAATATCATTCATTTATCATTTACAGAAATTCGTAGAAATATACAATCTGAGGAACGACCCGTACGAGCTTCACAACGCAGTCAACGATATATTCCCCGCCATCAAACATTGGTACAAACTCCTGTTGACCAGGATGGTCGCCTGTACCGGCGTCAAGAACTGCGACGACCCTCTCATTATATATAAGGATGCGGATAAATAGCTTTTTAATGTTTATATAGTGTTAAACAGTGGTTTTATTTTTGTGATACCAGTTGTACCCATTAGAAGATTTATTTTTGTGTATCCTGTAGAAATGAAAAATATTTAGTTACGAAAATAATAAATATTTCAGTTGAATGATAAGTTTCTTTTTGTGTTTTTACACAATATAAATTACTGGGAGTGCCATGCTACCATTCACATGGGCCAGCGCGACCGGAGTGATAATAAATGCATAGCCGAGTTCCGTTAATCAGATAGCAAACTTCGTTAACAAAACAGTTAACTTCGTTAATCGTTACATTTCGGGAGATTTAACGGAAGTTAACGTTAATCCGTTAACACGAGATGCATCACTCACGAAGAACCACTAGGAACCTTCAGATTTAGGCTACGGCGGTACCTAATCGACACACAGAGACAACTTGATATGGTAATCACTAATATATCTTTAATATAATTTCTACTGTTGTATGGGTATGGCAGAGTTGACTTCGCCTGTACTTTTGTAGCTATATTTAGGTATTTCCTAAATTATGTTGACGGATTAAGAATACAGAGTGTCACCACCCCATTCATTCCGTGGGTGTCGTAAGAGCCGACTAAGGGAGCAAACTACGCAGGACAACAGCACTGCAAAGAGAAGGAAAACTTGACACAAACCATGTACCAACCCGTCTGACAAGCTTGGTATAGTAGGCCGAAACCTCCTTGCTAAGGAGAGGCCTATGTCCAGCAGTGGACTATTAAAGGCTGTTGATGTGATGTCATCTGAGGCTTAGATTCAGGTTATGAACAAAAATCAAGAATCGAGTATAACTTTAGTGTGTAATTTTTCGTTGTCTCTATCTTTGACGAAATTAAATTGGAATGATTCTGATTTTCTGTCTGATTTTTTCCTACATGAACATTAATGTTCCGGCGTTATAGTTAAACCGCCGTAAGCTTGGCCCTCCTGATGGTTTGGGGGACGCGGGGCGGGGGTGCATTCAACCAATTAGCTAGTGCGTCGCTGTCCGCCGGCAGTGACTGACGTGAAAGCATGGCTGTACGTGTTATTTTTCTTAAGACTGCTACACACGGTATTATTTTGCAACATGGATAATCTGCCGTCTCTGCGTCACAAAAGATTTAAAAACTTGAAGTTCGGCTTACAGAGGTTCTACTGTTAAAGTTCTAATAAAGAATATTTATTATTTTACTTAATTTTTAAATTGTATCTGAATATAATTTACATGATGAAGATAAGGTGACTTTATTAAAATTATTTTACAGTATTAAATTTTACAATTAATCATAAAAACTTACAATACACGGACATTATAATACATAGAAATAAATTCGATTTTTATTACATCGTGTGTTGATTAAATCTCAAACAAATAAATCTGAAGATATCGAGTTAGTACATCGTGTCATGTATAGCCGAGCGCATCACCCGCCCCGCGTCCCGCAAACCATCAGGAGGGCCAAGCTTACGGCGGTTTAACTATAGAATATCTTTGTCCGTAGAAGACCTCCAACTGCATCGCTTGAGAGTTATAGTGGTATTATATTAAAAAAACCGATTTATTTAATATGTTCTCAGAAGACCGCAGCATCACATGTCTTTTGATTTCATGATTAGCCACATTTTGACGAAACTGAGCTTTTAGCTTTGAAAGATTTGTGGCTCTCGGGCATGCTCCTTTTAAAGTTACTTTTTTAACAGGTTCCCTGTCCCATGTATCACATATGATACACGGGACAGTTTTTGTACCAACTTTACTACGCTCATGTATCATATTTGAGCAAAGGTATACTTCAATTCAAGGCCCATTTTTCATCGGACGTAGCAGATCAAAATCAATTTTTAGTATATGGGCGTAGTAAGAACATTGTCTAATTAAAAAAAAAACAAAAAACCATCGTGATTTTTTGTCGTAAGTATGTTTTTTTCTCTGTCAAAATTTATTACTAAAAGGTAATCCGTTAATCGAAATGTTAACTTCGTTAATTAATGCCACTGACTGATTCTTGTGCCCAGCTCTGAATACACGTCCCTAATAAATAGGCCACTTAAATTTATTCACAAAAACACCAGCATCTAAAAATACTTTTTATTATAAATGAACCAACTTTTTATAAATAGTATCCTAATATACAATAGATAATATAAAAAATCACAGACTGGTAAAAAATATGGCAGCTTAATGTACTGTAACAACCAGAAATATCTGAAACAAATAAAAACATTGTTTTATTGTTGAATATTAAATATTACTTCAAAATATTTTGCAGATACAGGTTGGTGTTAAATTACTGGCTAGAAGAAAATCATCATCATCAAAAGCCTTTAATAGTCCACTGCTGGACATAGGCCTCTCCTTAGAAAGGAGGTTTGTTCCTTAGAAGAATATATTTTTTAGTCCTCATATAGAAGTTCCCGGGGTGCCAGTTACTGGTTTCTCCCAATTATTTAGAAAGGAAATTCCTTTATCATCCATTAGCCTTTGCCTACGGTTTCGCTCGCGATATTCCTTTTATTTCGTGTTTCTAAAATGACGAACCTTCAAACCGGTAGTATCATCACTTATTTTACAATAGGGGTCAAATTTCCAAAAATTTTTTCTTAATGGGTGGTGCTTACAATATAAAAAGCATCAGGTGCCAAAATTTCAAGTTTGCAGCGGTTAAGGCTCTACGTTGATAAATCAGGGCAATTAATTTTAAGGAACCGGAAGGAAGAGAGATTCCTTCTTTTGAGCGTTGAGTTGTACGTTGAATACTATGTAGTAACTATTAACTATTACTAACTCACCGACATGTGACCAATCAAAGTCAAAATATCTTTTTTTTTTAAGTCTTATGTAGACTCTAAACTCATAGGTCCAATACACAATAGCAACAATCTGGTTTGTCAAATACCAGTATGTTCGCTTACCCCAATCAAACTGGAAGGTACTTGAAAAACTATTCAAATTTTGACTTGTACTACGTTGGTAGAGTCATCAAGCACACTAAAATCAGCATGAGATACTGACCACCTACATACACGTTAAAGGCTGGTGTCAGGTGACGGCAGGCACTTGCTGTTGCTTCTGTATGCTGAAGAAGTCCGTGACCTTGCTCTGAGCCTGCATCTCCTCCTTGTGTACCAGCGGGCACGGGAAGTACTTCTAGAAGTACAAATGGCCATAAGTCTTTAATATGTATGTATTTACAATAAAAGGTATTTAAGTGTTTTGTCAGTCAACCTAGGTTTCATAGTACATGCTCTGCTTAGTTAAAAATTGATGGCGTTGTGTGTCAGATGTCCGAAACCGTGGAAGACCTAGCTTCAGCCCGTCTGGCCATGTGGGTGTCCAATAAAGAAAAATAATACAGGTTTTGTTTAAATCCGAAGGCGCTGCAGACGCCTGGGCCGGCTCGCCCGGAGTGAAAACTAATTCTTTCATTGATTTTTACCCAAACCCCCTCTCCCTCTGATTTGGGGGGGGGAGGAACTCTAACGGTTGGCAACACACTTAGTTGCATGGCACACTTGTATCCATAGGCGGTGGTAGGCACTTTCCATCAGGCGATCACTCGTTGGCCTTCCTATGCCTTAGAAAATAGAAAAGACTTGGAAAATCTGTACCTGTACAGCCCCAATGCCGCCGGATATATCGACGGTGGGCACGACCTGCTTCGGTTTCAGAAACTTGACAAAGCGAATCATCTCCGAGAAACTAGAATGCTCACTATATGGTATACCTGTCAATAACAATATTTACAACATTACAAATTATGATCTATACAAATAAATAAAATTGGAGTGTCTGTTTGTAATATTAAAATAACCGCTTTTTACTAAATGCATATGTATGTTTACACGGTACATATACCAAAATAACATGTTTCTACAATTTTTGTCTGTCTGTTTGTCTGTCTGTCTGTCTGTTTGTTCCGGGTAATCTCTTTAACGGCTGGATCGATTTCGACGGGACTTTCACTGGCAGATAACTGATGACAAAAGAATAACTTAGGCTACTTTTTTAGGACTAGCTTCGCCCCGCGGCGTCGACAACAAACGCGGGTAACACCACGGGTCTCAGCTAGTAGTGAATAAAACGAATAAAAACCGACGAAACGGCGAGTGTCCAATCTGTATAAGTTATCGTCTGTCCGCCATCGTTCCACAGCAAAATGTTCATCCCCATCACCTGGATAATTGGCACTCCACCACAGTGCCCATTTCCAGACACATTTTGTCTCGCACAACTAATCTGATTAACAAGTAATCGTCTGAGCTATTTTCGGATCGATACGACCCTCAAACGTTCAAGAAAAGAGTATACTCCTTCCTCAAAGGCCGGCTGCAGTTCATGGGCGGCGGTAATCGCTTTCCATCAGGTGAACCGTCTGCTAGCTTGCCCTTTCTTCCATAAAAGAAATACCATCTCATATCATAAAAAATCAATTTTCAAATCAGTTCATAAACATTGAGAACCTCCTCTTTTTTAAGTTTAAACCTACGGATTTGACGTTTACTAATTTGACCTAAGTCACCCTAAAGAAGTAAAGTCTAAGCAATGATTATTAAGTCGGGGGGGGGGGGGGGGGGGGGGGAAGGTGAGGTTTGGTATACCGTGTATAGCGACCATGTCCTTCTCGACGCAGGCGGACTTGCCATTCTCCCAGCCGCTCGGCTTGAACGCCACCAGCTCGCTGAACGCGCCCTTCAGACTGTCCAGGTAAGCGCGCAGTTTCTGTAATATTCACATATCTTTGAATAACAATCAAGTTGGTTTTAATATGTATATTTTCTAATTAATAGTTATTCTTGGGGAAAGAACCTGTTCTTTACCGTGGGAGAGCCATGGCCCGACTCAACCGGAGTGACATTACGGCCTCACAGAAACCTGTGTCAAGGAGTTGGGAGTTGTGACTCTTAAGTTGTGCAGGTGTTCATGGGCGGCGGTAGTCACTTACCATCAGGTGACCATAGAACAAATATTAACAGGAAAACTAAATAGTGACGCATCCATCAAGCCACGCACCCTGACCAACCAGGTTCAAGGCTTTCGTACGAAACGATAATTTATTGGAACCTGATTGGCAGGGGGGAGGGGTTTGATCAATGATATTTTCTTATTACGAATGGACTATATCTTAATCGGTCCATTTGGTTTAGATTTGCTGTGATGCCACAGAGAGACAGGTCCACCCACACTAACAATTTTTTGCTAAGAACTAACGGATACAAAACATTTTGATTCATTCATTACAATACACTGACTTCATGCGTGAGGTCCCGCATGGGCACGACGTGCAGCTGGCAGGAGTGAGGGGGGGCGTGGCTGAAGGAGCGGCCCTCCACGGCCTGCAGCACGCGGTCCTTCTCCGGGCACGCCCACACCGCGCAGCCCACGCGCCGCGACATGCCCAGGAAGAACTTCTCTTTGCCTGCACCCAAAATGGAATACGCGACCACTATTACAAAATATCCCAAATCATTGTAATATATGAATTATTAGTTGTTGACTGCACGGATGGTGTAGTGGTTTAAGTGGTCGCCACGCCGCTTCCTACTACGTATGATCCACAAATTGTTGTTCTGAGTCTGGGTGTTCTTTGTGTCTGTTTCATGTATGTTTGTGAAGTCCCCCGCGACACAGGAATATATATTCCTAATGCGGGCGTTGTCTTTTTTTAAAAATAATAAAAAAAAAAATAGTTTAACGGTAATTTCATCCTAGTTCAACATACAACGATAATATGTGGTACATCGGCGGACTTAATGTCCTGGTCATTCTCTACCATCCAAACTTTGGGTGGTGTAGAAATCTGATGAGGTAGGTGCACTAAGGTAACAGTTGTGATATTAGTGATAATAATATAACAATAATTATACCCTGACACACACGGCTGTCTGATCCCAAACTAGGCAGAGCCTGTACTATGCCAGGCTGCTGATAAACAACCAATCTGTGGAAAGAGTTATCGTCTGCGGTATTTCCGGACCGATACGACCTTCAAGAAAAGAGCGTACTCCTTTCTAAAAGGCCGGCAACGCGTTTGTGACTCCCGAGTTGCAGACGTTCATGGGCGGCGATGGTCACTTTCCATCAGATGCCCGTCTGCTCGTCTGCCCCCTCTGACATAAAAAAACATATTTATATATACATATTTTAGATAAATTATACCCAGACAGAGAACAAATGATCGTGCTCATCACACAAATATTTGTCCTGGGTGGGAATCGAACCCACGACCTCCGGCTTAGCAGTCAGGGTCACTAACCACTAGGTCAACAGGCCCTTGGTAAAGTTTTAAACTAACACATACAGTTACACACACATGCAAAATATACATATAAATACATATACTTTATATCTGTACACTGTAAATAGGTATATCTTCTTGCCATTTTCCAGAAAAAAATATTCCAAATATGAGACTGAAAACGTTGGTGAATGTTATTCATAATGATTAATGATTAATGGTTTTTCTCACCTCAGGGCCCTTCTTCAAGGAGTGTAACGTCCTGAGTAAAATCATGTATCTCTAATAAAAATGTATAAATTCCTTAAAATGTTCTAAACATCTGCAAGTCAAAGGGCGTTGCCGCTCTTTGAGTACCTCCAACCTCAGAAAACTTTTTTTTTTTTTAAAAAAAAAGACAACACCCGCATTGGGAATATATCCTGTGTCGTGGGGGACTTCACAAACATACATGAAACGGACACAAAGAACACCCAGACTCAGAACAACAATTTGTGGATCACACAAAGTGTCGTCCCATGTGGGGTTTGAACCCACAACACTCGGCGCAGTAGGAAGCGGCGTGGCGAACGCTTAAACCACTGCGCCATCTGTGCAGTCTCAGGAGGAATCGTTTAACATCGTTTTTCTGTGAGGCCGTGGTATCACAACGCTACGCTAAACCGGTTACACAGTTGAACATATCCCGGTGCCAATGAACAGGAGCACCAGTTGAGTCATACTAACAAACATTCAGAGACAAACCTATGGTGTAAGTGCCACACACAATAAGCACGCTGGAGAACTTCTTGCCGGCCTTCTCCAGCGACTGTTTCTTTTGTCGCAAAATGTAGAGAGCCATCTCTAAACTTTGCTCTTGTGTTGGGAAGTCGTAACGCGGGTTGCAATACCTGTAACCAAGTTTTTATATTATTATATTTTGACGTGACAACGTCTTATAATTCGATGGAGCCGGCTGCACGCACGAAAAAACATGACTCATGCGGCGTTACCTCGCTCTGAGGCGTTCCATTAAGGGCGTGAAGTGCAAGCGAGAGCGCGGAACAAGCGACAAAGAGGCACAATTGGCCTCCGCGTTCGGCAGCGTTCGACATCTGTCTCTCTCCTACTTGAGTGAGCGATGCGTCCGCGTGGACAGCTGCTACTCGTATACAATAATACATTTTTGAAAAATGCAACCATTCCATCAGTATTTTCTTATGACGTTGTCACGTTCAACTATCGTCAGTAAACCGACTTTACAGACAACCGATTTTTTTATTACTAAATAAGTTAAAGTTAAAGTTTAAAGCTAAAGTCTATCTAGTAGGTGTCGATCAGTCGTCTTGGACCCATAATTTTATGCGTCATCCTAAAACCAAGTTGTTTATTTTTTCTTTGCTGCTACGAAATACCACCACGATACTTTAAGCATAAAATTGTATGCGTAAATTATAAAATTAGGGACCGAATGTTTTACCGACTGCGCCAAAAGGAGGGTTATGGAGTGTTTGTATGTATGTACAATTCTGTGGCACGCTCTGTAGTCTAAACGGACTTTGGCTAAGTGTCGTAATATTCGACTTAATTGTAAGTGACAAAGGGTAAATGAAAATTAAAAAATTAAAACCTATTTAACGCAGTCGAGTTTTTGTTCCTTTTTATTAATAATGAGGTTGTGAAAAAAAAAATTATAATGAATTTGAAATATTTAGAATAAGCTACAAATAAGTATTAAAAAAAAATTTGAGAGCAGTTTATATTTCATTAAAGGCCTGACGGCTGACGTCACAGTGCGTCAGGCGTCTCCAGAGCGGGGCGCTTTACTCCTGGAAAACGGGCTCTCTTCGTATCCGAAACTAATGGGGGAAACCAGGTAAAACCGCAGTTCTATAATATTTTTGAGTTTTCGGTATTTTAAGTCACTGTTGCCAGTGGAACAATTTAAACTCAGTGAAATTATGTTTGGTCATGACTCAAGAATCTTGTTGAAACAAAGACTAACCTCTGTTGTTTGCATCTACTACAAGCCAGAGAGACTATGATACACAAAAATTAAAAAAACTTCAAGGAAAACCGTCTCTACGCCCTAGAAAATATAATCCAAACTCACGTAGTGTCCAGGTATATCGTGTGAATATCCTTATTCCAGAATATGGGGTATGACTCCATGGCGGGCGAGGCTCTGAAGTCGCCCGTGTGCAGTAACGTCTTGCCGTTGGGTAATGTGAACACTAACATCACTGCGCCTGGACAACTGCGGGGAAAACAGATTTAATCATATCTTTATAAATATACAACTAGCATTACCCTTACACGCTTCGCTCAGAACTCGAAAGACGTCCTGGACGACTGGAAATACGTCTAAAGTTCGCCACAACAATACCAAACAACAAAAACAAGGATCCAACGGCGTCCCACAGCCTTCACCAGGTCGTCGGACGTCGGAGTGTATCCACGTTGCGTTTCCGGTACGCGGCCGCCACTCGAAAACGTTATGGCCCCGTCGGCCATCGTTTCTGCGAGCAATGTGCCCACTGCCTCTTAAGTTTGGCAACTCTCCGGGCAATGTCGGTGACCTTGGTTTGTGTGCGGATATCCTCATTTCTGATTCGATCTCGCAGAGAAACTCTGAGCATTGCCCTCTCTATTGCTCTTTGGGTGACTTTGAGGCTTCTTATGAGACCCATTCCCTCTATATATATACATATGTATAGTAGTAAGTAAACGCCCGCATAAGAAATGTATCCTGTGTCGCGAGGGACTTTACAATACTGAGAACAACAATTTGTGGATCACACAAAATGTCGTCTCATATGGGGTTTGAACCCACAACACTCGGCATAGTAGGAATCGGCGTGGAGACCGCTTAAACCACACGCCATCCGTGCAGTCCCAGTACTCTCAGTCTCGCGATATCTGTTTCTCCTGTCTGTAAGATAGGCTGGTAATGGAATGACAAGGGTTTTGCTTATTCTGATGGAATAAAGTGTGAGCGATAGCTTGGATATACAAAGTAACCCCCTCTACTTAGCTACAAACTCACTGGTTAGCCTCCACTGCAGTAACTTCCACGCCTTCCACTCGAATGGTTTCGTCAATTTTTAATACGTGGATGCACTTTGGCGGCACTCCAAGACGAGAAATGCAGAGGTCCGCTGAAACATACCACAGATGTTCTGCATTATAACAAAATGTAAGTGGGGGTTAGATTCCCACCCAGGGCAAATAATTGTGATGATCACGATCATGTCAGCGGTTACCGATTCCAAATACAAACTTCCCCCCCCTCCCTCCCCCCCCTTTCACACCCTTAAAGTATGTTTTCTCGGATAAAAACTACCCTATGTCTTTACCCGGGACTCGAACGATCTCGGTACCAAATTTCATTTAAATTAGTTCAGCGGTTTAAGCGTGAAGGGGTAACAGACAGACACTTTCGCATTTAAAATTTGCATTTCCCATTAGTATGGACTAGCTGGTACCCGCGACTTCGTTCGCGTGGAATTTGAAAAGCGCTGCCTTAGTAGGTTCGATTCCTGGACTGGACAACATTTTATAAAATAGCCTAAGTTACTCCTTATATAGACAGTTACCTGGCAGTAAAATATTATCAGAATCGGTGCAGTCGTTTAGAAGATTATCCGAAACAAACAGACAGCCAAAAAAAAATTAAACTGGTTCTTAAGCATAGGTATCGTGCAAATATTTTTTTTCAATTTTGACGTTACAAACGACACTTCAATTTTATTTATTTGTATAGATATAGAAGTATTGATGGAACGGAATTCTTTAAAATTAATTATACGATAATTTTCGTAACTTCACACGCTGATTAAGTCTTGAAAGATAGACGGACAACACAATGATTCCATAGGTGTACCATTTTTTTTTCAGAGGAGGGTATCGTAAAAATAAGGTTCCTCACCAGTAATTTTTGTGCAATAGAGCGATTTGTTAAAGCCCTTCTTCAGTCCAGAGTAGTGATCGGAATGGAAATGCGTGAGGAAGTAATGCTTCACGTTTGGAATGTCACCGTAGGAGAAAGCATCCACCGCAAAGTGAGTACCTAAAAAAATTCAAAGCCCTTAACAATACTAGTAATGTACACCTGACCTCTGACCCAAATAGCTCACTTAAGACCCATAATATTTTGTGGCCGTGGTGCTTCCCTATTTAAAAAAGGTGTATTTTACTTCATTTTGTCTCCCGCTTTGCTAAGGAGAAGAAGAAGAAGTTGATTTACTGTATTTCCAACTCTTCCAATTTTCTTCTGATTAATTTCTTTGCGGGTTCCAAGACAGTTTTTTTTTCCTGGGACTGCCCGAGTGTCATAACTCGGTGTTCGTGGGTCACTGCTGTTGATCCTTGTGTACAGCAGTTACAGTGGTGGGCGTGTGGGAGGGATTAGTCCCATTAAAAAACAAAACTGTCACAAAAAAGCTTCTGAGAAAAAGTTTGAATTCTCAATTCACAGAGGGTAGTTGACTATTAAACAAAAATTGTTTAACAGACGAAATTGTGTTAAACTTATTATTTTCTAATTCCTAACTGAAAAATAAAATTGGCTTGGCGATAGCGATGTATAAAGTCATAAGTTTCCATATAATTCATTCCCAATCATACATATCCTACCCTCGTTTTGATCAGGTAAAATTGACCATGATCTCAGGCATTTCACCTATTTTTAAATATTCTCAAAGCTTACTTTTTTACTTAGAAATATTTATCATAAATAAGGACACGACATGAATGAATATTTTAACTTTGACTCCGAGTATAATAAACACTGCAATAATAATACTGATGTTGTCGAATAATGATAAATTAATATTGTCTGTTAACGAGCAATTTCCCAAAACCGATAGCGTTGAGCATCACTATGTAAACAATCTTTGAAAACATGAAACGTACCTGCGACAATTTTATGACTCGGTATAACCTTCGTGGATGTAGCTCTCTTAGTCGATTGAGATTTGTTCGATAGATTAAATTGAATCGTGTCTACATTTTTTCGCGGTGTTAAGGAATTGGGAGTGAGGGCTCCGCCACGGGGTAACGAATTTGCAGTGTCGGGTCTCGGTGAACTCGCCTTTCTTGCCGAAGATGCCGTGCCTTGTCTGCTCGACGCATTATCTTGTCCCCCGAAAAATGGCGACTTACGGCCACTCTTATCAGCGACTCCTGAATTCTTGCTCATTTCCCCCGAATCACCATTTTTAATAACCCCAACCTTCACTGACTCTAACCCAACAGGACAATCCTCTTCAGATACTTTCGAGCGCTTACTAAAAAAACTGTCAATCGATTTCTGTCTCAGTCCACGCACGATCCCATTACTGACGTCAGAATCCAACACTGTCTTTTTTCTCTTAGAAACGCTTTTAATTTTACTGTGATTTATAAAATTTCCCTTCACTAATTTATAATTTGGTGGTTGAACGATGACATGAGATATCTTTTCAACGGCACTTGTGTTTAAAATTAGAACTTTTGAGTTTTCTGCTGTCTCTGGTGACGTTTTTGTCTTTTTTATTTCTAGATTGACTGTTACGGCCGACCTTTTTGGCGTGTTTGGTAGAGGTTCGTCATTCTCTTCTTCCATATCACTTTCGGAGCTTATCTTAGAAGATTCTAATATATCGCAGTCCACAATTGTGTTGTCATTATTTTGCGTAACTAACACGCGTTTGAAGTTACTGTTTTTGGAGGTAATTTCAACACTTTGGCATTGGTTTACTCCAAAAGACAGGGTGATGATAGGTCTTTCGTCTATGTTATAGATAACTGTTGAATCGCTTTTTTTGTCATAAGTTTTGTCTAAGTCGGTGTTCGAAGACACCGATCTCAGAGATACTTTGGTGTCAGCTTTTGCATTATCGATTTGTACTTTTTCTGTGACTGTTGGTACATCACCCTCGACTACTCCAAGAGAAACACCATCTAAATAATTGGTAACACTATGGAGGTCTTCAATGGCAGAGAATCCTAAACTGTCTCTGTCGACTGACTGCTTTTTACATTTCGCCGAAGCAGTACAAGGAATTTGATTTTGAATATTCTTCAAGTTTTCCTTGTTTAAAGGATGAACCTGGAAACGATTTTCTATGACATTAGTAATTTATTGGGTGGCACTATGGACCTGGGTATTCATGAGAAGAGCAAAGCCAATTTTGTGAACTGTCCATGGCTATCATAATGTAGTAGTTATGGTGCAAAAGTATTATGTTTGAATGTTTTTAGTAAAAAAGGTTAAGAGGTGGCTGCAGGTGAGGCCTCTTTAACCGGCCATTGTTTGTTGTCTATACAATCTATATTCTTAGATTTATCGATATTGTTTTGCGCGTCACTATCATTTTGTAGGCATTTGGTGTACAGCACCGATTTTCGTTATTGAAGGGACGGTTAAAGGGTTAAAAAAGTTACATATGATAGGATGTGTATGGACAATATATGATGCTTATCTCAGCATAAACAAGTATTTATAATAATAAGAAGATTGCTTTATTTTTTTCACCTAAATAAAAATTACATAGCACACATATTCATAGAAAATAATATTAAATAGTTATAATGATATAAGATAGTGGTAGCAATAAACGATAATATACATGAGTATGATAGTATACTGACTGTATGGTGGCATAGCAGTGTGGGTTCCATCTCTACATGGGACACCACTTTGTGCAATCCAAAAATTGTTGGTCTATGTCTGGGTATTCTTTGTGTCCGTTTCATATATGTTTGTAAAGTCCCCCTCGACACAGGATATATATTCCTAATGCGGGAGTTCTTTAAAAAAATCAAAATGAGTCCCCTGATCGTAAGTTACTACAGTCATAACATAAACAAAGCTAAAAACCACCATAGTGTGTTCATTGCTATGTTTATACTAGACAAGCATAGGCTGTTAACACACTTGTGACTTCTGAAGGTACAGGCGTTCATGGGTGGCAGTAGTCTATTTTGTGACCCGTCTGCTTGCTAGCGCCCTATATGCCCGATATCATAACTAAATATGGTCATAAGGCATGTATACTTGACAACTTAAAAGTAAGCTAGAAATCCATTTTAATTAATTTATTTATAAAGCTTAGTTGATCCCTCACCATGAGATAAGTTTGTATATATTATTTTAATTTGTTTTTTTTTACTTTTTTATTTGTTAGTTTTGTCAGTTTGTTTGATTAAATTTTATGTTAGTAACGTTAAGCGGGGCCATCTTTAGTGGTTTTATCTTGTGCCAGTTTGTGCCATTATTGACTTATTATTGAATAACTTACCTTGGGCTTACTACTCAATTTAAAAGCATGACTTCTTCGTAACGACAGCGAACATCGACTTGCAATTGAATTCTGGGAAAAGGTATTAGGTAATGCATTACAAATTCTAAACATGATTTAGACTTGTTATATTGCAATTGTCAAGTATCCGATAAATTCGCATTAAAACGTAGAACTCATTAAATATTTCTTCCAGCAGTTTGGTAAACAATTAAAAGGATTTCTTACATCCTACGCTTTAATGTGTTAAATAACTAACACTGCCTACCTGAGTTAAAGACAATTCACCATATTGTTTCCTAATACGCCTTGGGTTCAATAAAGAGGGTAAATAAGCATTAATATCGTCATCATTCATTTCCATAAAAAACTTAAGTTTTTATAAAAAATGTTCTTAAGTTCCAAAACAAATATTTATATATTCTTTACTTATTGAAGTATGCAGATTAGCAAATGTGTAAAATGTCATCTGTCATTGATCACTATGGTAAATGTCTCGTGTAGAGTTGGGACTAATAAATATGTTATTTATTGGAAAAAAACTCTGACTGGTGAACCCCAGGGCATATATTTTAAAATTTTAGAAAATAAATCTTTGAAAACATTTGATAATTTGGTAACAAAAACTCGTTTTTTTATATTTTCACATACCCGCGTCACTCACAATTAAGACGAATCTAACGATATTTAAACTCCAACATCCATCATGTTGTTTAGACTACAGAGCGTGCTCTGCAGTGGGTGGGTTAGTGGGTTATGTTTTCGAGTGAATGTAGTATGTACTTCATACACTTGAAAACATAGCCCTCCTGTCCTCCTGGCGCAGTCGGGTATAAAGACTATGATACAACTTGCAGTATTGTGGGGAAATACAAAGAAAACATGTTATAGAACTATGTAAACATATAATAGAAAAAGTCTCCATTGTACTAAAGTCAGTTTTTTTATGGAATAGGGGGCAAACGAGTAGACAGGTCACCTGGTGGAAAGCGACTACTGCCGTCCATGAACGCCTGCAACTCCTCACAAGCGCGTTGAAAGCTTCTGAGGAAAGAGTACGTTCTTTTCTTGATGGTTTTAAGGGCGTATTGGTTCGGAAATACCGCAGCCGATAACTTCTTCCACAGGTTGGTAGTGCGAGGTAAAAAGTGTCTTAAAAAGCGCAATGAAATTTCATTTCATCTTATGTTGATGAAATGAAAGCACTATTATTATGATTTCAATTTTAAAATAATTCTCTTAATTCTCTGTATTAAAGATGTAGTTTCATCTTTAATACTGAATATATTTTACTTTAATAGTGTCATTGTTGTAATTTGTAGAATTTGCTTTCTGAAAAAATTAAGTAAATAAGTACAGCAAGTGTACCGCTCTAGATTTGTCTTTGAAAACAAACACACGTCAGTGAACTATTGAAGTATTGCTACACTAGAAATATATTTCTTAGTTTTGGGAAAAAAGAAAAGACATATCAGTAGATTTTATTTATAATTTTGTTTGTGTGTTTTTGATTATCACTGAAATCAGTGGTTTTAAAAAGAAAAAGATCTTCAAGGATATTTTTTTTTGTTTTCAGAGATAGATACCGATATTATAAAACTGATCAGTCCCATTGTTTTTATAAATCGGTTTGAACAAGATTAAGACTGGCAATAATTTTTCAAACTTCAACAAATTGCTTTTCTCTGATAGGTATTGTGTGTGAATTTTATTTAATTTTTAACAGAATAAATACAAATTGAATCAAATAAAGACGAAAGATTATTCTCTGAACTTTTAGCGAATAATTACAAACGTAAGTATTTTTTTCTTGTTTACCAATTTCAAATGTAATATTAGGTTAGATGTTACTATTATTTCTGCTGACTGTTCCTACTTCATTTTTCCGATATGTTGAAACTTATGCTTTATTAATTAGGGGCTGAACATGGCTTTTTTATTTGCGATGCGCTAAACGTCCTCCATGCATGGAAAAATATGGTTCATCACACGAATATGTTACGGTTGAGTGAACTTAAATAATCAATAACAATGCGAGGAGGGTAATATTCACGATATCATACAAATATTTGCGCGCAAATTCAACATCTAATTGTTCTTACTTTGAAATTATTTATAATTTCATATTCAGTTTGTATTACCTTGGTGTTTTTGTTTTATAAAATTTTGTTTCAGTATTTTGATTCAGTGTAATTGAAATGTTAAATAAATGTGCTTATCTTATATTTTGTAATGTGTGAACGTAAATATTTTAAATTATACTAAGATGACATATACAAATTCAGCTTTAAGTACATGACTTTAATTCATTAATACTATTTTACTCGTAATATTTTGTGATTTATATTATTTCCATGTGTAATAAACACACTCACATATTGAGTATTAAGTACTTTTAAATTGCCCGACGTTTCGACAAGATTGCACTGGATGTGATCACAGTATTTCGGTAATTTAAATCACTACAGTCAAGCCTGAAGATCAATTCACTCCAAAAATCTGTTCGGATCTACTCTCTTTAGCACAAATTAAAGTTTTAAAAGGTATTTTCGTAGTAAAATTGTAAATAAGACTAATAGATTACCAATTCAACTTTTGGTTACAATGCAATATAATCACTTTACATTGAGATGTTTAATACGCAAATACTTATGACATTCGTGAGATCGAGTGGAGGTCAGAACTGAATTGTAACCTTTTTTTCACGAGAATTGGCCTTTTGATTAAGTATGCATGTCTTGGTTATAAGAAAAACCTATGTAATAACATTGAGGATTGAGAATATTCAAAAATTTTAATAAGAAATTTCTTTTTGCGGTATGGGGCAAATGAGTAGACAAGTCACCTGATGGCAAGTAACTATCGTTGCTCATGGATATCTGCAACTCAAGAGTCATAAGTGCGTTGCCACACTTTGAGTCATCATCATCATCAGCCTATCGCAGTCCATTACTGGACATGGCCTCTTCCAAAAGGCTTTGTGTAATCTCACCACATAGGGGCTTTTATTGGGATACGTTTAAGTCACTCATGTTCACTACATGAGTGACCTCAACGGAGCACACACGGAACCACAATGTTTTTTTTTTTTATTTTCTTTCTTTGATTTTTTCTATGCTTATACTACAACTAGAAACATCAGGCATTTCAATGGTATTTAATACTTATTATGTGAATGCATTTATTCCCACTCATACAGAATTACGTATCCTGGCATGCAAAAGTTAAAAGTCCGTTATCTGTAATAAATTGTGTTTTTCATCGTCAATCAATCATGTGTTTTTAATACAAATAAATAGGTTTGTATCTATGTGTAGTGTGACTAATTTATATATATTTATAAAACAATATGTATATTATTACATCAACCATTTTCCACTATTCTACAAGGCAAGAAGACAAAGGATAATATTAAATATCGGAGACAGAACACAAAACACTTAGACGAGTAATTAAAGTTCTTGAATATGCCGGGTACAAGGCGTGCTCGCAATAATGCAGACTCAGTGGTCATACCCCGTCAGAATTCAGTGTCTGACAATGGAAGGACTCGTCAGAACCTTAGCCCTGAGGCATTAGCGGCTATGAGTAAGGAACAGCTCCGGTCAGAATGCAGGAAACGGGGTCAACGAGCTACAGGCAACAAAAACGAGCTGGTATAAAGCTGTTTGAGTTTGTGTCTAAGCTTTGTTTAATTTTTTTTGCCGGCAGTATTGTGATGCTTTAATTTTTTTTTAATATATTAATAGTGATGTGCTCAGGGTTTTAGTTTCAAGTTTGAAATAAGTATATTATTACTGCACTAATTATATATTTTGACAACGAGTGTATAAAAATAAATTAGTAACAAATTTTATTTTTATTTACATTATTTATGTTGCTTTAAGTTTATTTGAGCACTTTTTTAAGTTGTATTGCATTGTTTATTAGAGCTGAAGTGTATTTTGTGTTATTATTACTTAATATATTGTCACTTTTTATTAGCATGCTACAGGTAAATGAATAATAAAATTTCAATATCTGTCTTGATATTGATATAATAATGACTCAATAACATAATGAATGAAAAAATAATTAGTAGCATTTCACTAGCATTTTGAGTACCTTTTTCCATCAGAGTTAATTTCGCCAAAAAAGGCCTCTAAAATAAAAAAAAGATATTTATGGTTTTAGCTTGACTACTATACATTTTAATGTAAATACGGACATAGAACAAATATGCAAATAGTTTTTATAAGTCATGAGAAATGCAATGCAGTAGTTTATTTACGAGTACTTGTCTTAGTCATCAATGTCTGACATCGATTATTATTTGTACACGGGGACCTCTGGCCGTCACGTTCGCCCACGTCACGGAGACAAGTTTGTCGAGACCGGCTGACACGTCATGCTTAAATACGAGCGTTAGTTACAGTGACAATCCCCTTGTGTCCACTAAAAACAAATTGCTTGGTTTATAGTTTCAAATTATAAATGAAGAGACATAGATAAGAAAAACCAGTCTATTTCTCATGAAAGTTAAAGATTATTAATATTTGAAAAAAAAAATTGAACAAAATAGGCATTAAGTCACGTGACAGCGAACACCAATCAGAAAGTGTTACGTCACGTCACGCCACACAAAACGTCATTGTTATGTTTATTGTTTTTCGTTTTTAGCACATTTTCTCACCTTAATACAGTTTCAGTTGACACTGGAAACAGATGTAAACAGTTTTGTTTCGCAGACTGTGACGTCATTAAAGACGCCATGACACTATTCAGCGTTTTCAAGGGAAACTAAAATTGTTTATTTTTTATATAAAATACGTAATGTAAATATTGCTTTTTCTTTAAAATATAGGTTTTTTGGGATAAAATAGATATTAAAGTATATAATTAACCAAGTTTTCAAATTGAGTCGACTAGCCCATTATTATTTTCGTGGTCAGTCCTAAATAATTTTTATGTAATTTTTTTTTTTTTAGTGCTGGTTAACTTAGTATAAAATAGTTAATTAATCTCTTTTCTCTCTATCTTCTACAAGGTATCAAGGTTCTATAAAATAGTTAATTAATGTGAAAAGTAGGAAAAGTGATATGAGACCTAATTTAGCACACTTTTTCATACTAATGTCTATCGAAGTTTTTTAATAGATTCATTCGAGGAGAGTATTCGACATTTCGTTACCTGTATAATAATATCGGACTATGTAGAAAACGGTCAGGTACACAATTCTAGAAGTTAACTTACGACCATTTAATATTTAGCAATTAACAGTGATTCTTTTCGAATTACCTGTGACAACCATCATTCGTTTGAGTTCCTTTTCGTCTTTTCGTCAAAATTCTTTGCAGCATATCTTCCAACGTGTAATGTTTGAAACCTATACCTAGTGTATATTTTATTTCAAGATAAAGCTATTACACTATTGTAGATTGATTCTCAGCCACCAGTGTAGTAGTCATCCTAGGATATCCCCTTTCTTTTTCTCACTTTCATGAAAGTACGAGTTTAAACTCGACGCTTTTTCCGTTTCTTTTTTGGTTCGAGTCAAAAATTCAGGAATGCGTTCGTCTACTTTTCTAGTCTATTATAATTCTGAAACGTTAAATATGTAGTGAACAGGTTTCGCTTGCATGTACGTGTTCATATAGGTCATCTGCAAGATTAACTCACTACTTTTTAAAAGAATAGATAGATAGATGAAAAGTAGTAAGTAAATTTTGTAGCTGACCATTTCCCTATCCCGCTCTGCGACCTTCTTCTGGATTATAACGTCCTCCTAGAAGGAGACTGCGGCTGCCCATCGCTCGCCAGCATTGCCCCGATATATGCTGGCGGTGACAGGTTTCGTCCGATCTACCTGACCAGGACTAGATGCTCGGGCTCCCATGCAGGGCAGTCCTCCAGCGCATGCTGGGCGGAATCCAAGTCGGAACCATAATGTGGCATTGTGCCGTGACTGCCCGTCCCATTTGATTAAGATACTCACCGAAGCATCCGTGCCCGGTGAGTATCTGAGTTAATCGGTAGGTGACACAGTCGTTTCTCCCTTCCCACGCTTTTAAGGTCGTGTGCAAGCACAGCCCAGAATTTCGAGCCGTGCCGGCTAAATCCACAGAGTTTGCGTATGCGCGTACTGCTGTAGCATTCCGGGCTTATGATCTGACCTCTTTACCATTCCGAGCGAACGTAGACCATCGCGTCCATATCGGCCAGAATGTCGAAGGGCGGAAATCTTACGGTAGCCTTGTCCATTAGCCACTGCTAGCTTCTGAGTAGAGCCTTGCAGCGGGAGGCACCCGTCAGGCCATTAGACCAGATAGGTGCCCCATATAGAACCATGAAACTTCTTCCCGCGGTCCCCCAAGATTGGGCATCAGGTGATGCAGCGCATCCACTAGCCCTCGCACTCGGGGGTCTAATCGGTCGAAATTCTCTCCGAGCCCTACCTTTTCCTACATCTTATCGGTCCGCTGAATTAAATGGTTTTGGCAATTTCTTTTAAGTACTATCCATCGATACTCAATACTATGCGAGAGTCGACGAAAACAGGTTACCCACTTAACCTCTACGGGGATTTATTTTACCATTTTATTGACGTTATCAAAATGTTTACCTATGTAAAATTACGGCTCTCTAGTATTAAAAGTCTATCAAGTCTTGTAAGCTAAACCACTGACGGGCGGATATCATAACAAAACTAAAAAGGTATTTTGATTGGACTACGGTACCCTAAAAGCATTATTCAGCGTTATAGATAAAACTACAAAAACCGAACATGTTAACATCAATTTATTTACCCGGATGTCATGTATGTTGTCAGTGCGCAGACCTATTGGTATGATTGTCGTGTAGGTTGGCGAACTTCCCGTTGCTAAGCCAATTCAAACTAAAGATAATCTAATCATCTGTTGTTTGAACTGGTTTTGTTCGGTTTGAGTGCGATGTAAATTTCTAATCATGTAGTCAACAATATCGTGCTTTTTCAATTCTGTTGTTTTTTTTATGTTTGTTTTCTCAGAACTTCGTCATTTGTGTGCCGATTTAGAAAATGCCTTTTTTTATTGAAGAGCCATTCAAATTTTAAGAAAAGACCCCCAAGGCTGGAAACTAAGGGATGAAGAGAGGTAGGGAAGGGTAGTAGGTGATACCTTTTTGAAAATTTATTATGATTTATCTGATTTCTCTTCTGTCCAAGGTCCAATGACAATTAATTCTCAGACTTCTGTAACAGTTTTAAATTGATAGGATTTTATATGCTAAGTTAGATAGCAACCGTATCCTAAATACGAATTAACAAACAGATTGACGTCACGTCTGTGACTGTAAAACATTTTGTTTTTTTTAAACTCTTGGCAAGTTAATAAAACCGTGATGAGCAGTATGTCACCTCATGAAAAATGATGTTGCGTTCACAAACACATCACATTTACCTACTTTTTTTATAAAACAAAAGCTAGTCCACAAATATTATGATTATCTATTTACGGGCCTGTTGGTCTAGTTGTTAGTGACCCTTCTTTTTTTTTCCGTGCGGCGATCCCCTCGGATACCACCTATCGGTGGCATGTCGGACTCGAACCTACTAAAATCGCACGCCGTCTCGGGTACTAATAGCCGGAGAACAGGTATACCCTAGAAAGGAAGTCCCTGGTGCCCCGACATACCTCAGGCCATCTACAACAATAGGTAGACGACCCCCCCTGTGTGGGAACCCCATGTTCCCTCTGCTCCCTGGAAGCGAGCGCGCTTCGCAACGCGCCACCGCGGCCTGCTTCTACTAGGGTGACAGATGGCCTCACCTGTCACCCCCAGGCCTGCGCTTATGGAGGACGGAAGTCGTTCTGCGACCTCCGGCGCCTGAGTCGCCTGCGGTATTTGGCCCGTTCCCGGGCCTGGCGGGCTGGGAGAGTAATAAACCTCTATCGGTCCCGCTCCGCCATGTCCTTCTGCGAGCAAGTTATGCTCGCGTAGATCAGAGTTCCACGCACTCTCGCTCCGCACGATGGCCGCAATCAGGCTATCGAGCGAGAGAACTCCCACTCTGATGGCCGCCACGAGGCCGCCTCTGCTCAACCCACGCCGGGCACTCTGCCAGCGTGTGGAGACCCGTGTCCACGGTCTGGCCATCGCAGTGGTGGCACTCAGGCGTTGGCTCTTTGCGGATCACCTGCGTCAGTCGGTATGAGAGGGTCCCGTGACGCCTCTCGAGCCAATCCTCCATAACGGGTCTTACCGCCGCGATTTTGTTAGTGACCCTGACTGCTTAGCTGGAGGTCGTGGGTTCGATCCCACCCAGGACAATTTTTCCAAAAAAACAGCAGTCTAGTACTAGGAGGACCGAACATATTTGACTGCTCTGTTTTTTTACGATGAAAATTAGCAGAATCAGTCTTTAAAAAAAAAGTGAATGTATATCTATACTGCCATATTTTTATTAAGATACTAACAGTAAGAATTACTTTGATAACACTTGAAAAGGCCAACAGAGCCAAAAAATGAGTATGGTCGACTCCTTAAGTGATTCACTGTTTGCTTATCGAAATTTTGTAAAAGTGACTAGAATGGCTAGTTGAAATTGAAATAAATTGCTTGTCACATACTTAAATAAAACTTGTGTGAAAGCTTGAAGAAACCTCGATCTTTGATGTCATTTTTCCACTCGCAAATC